AAAGGCCCCAGTTTCTACGAAACTGACCTTTGTCTTCTTCGGTCTTTGTTTTTTTTTTTTTCAGACAAATAGTACTTAAGCTCCATTTATACGAAATTAACCTTTGTCGTCTTCTCTTTCGTTTTTATTTAATTGTAAATGAAATTTGGAGTTGGTCTAATTGTTATTCTTCAGCTAACATAAGGACCTCAAGGAGGTTTATTGTTTATCGTCACATGCAATCATACAAGCTAGCTATAAAATTTCTGCAAGTAAAGAAGGGACCATTTTCATAGGAAATTTGTCTTAATTTCTGAAGAAGCTATAGTTTTCCAATCAAGAGATAATATGAGAGACAACAATTACTTTTATTCCAACTTAAAAGAGCAAGATTCGAATCCGCCTTATTCGAAATCAAAATAAAACTTCGACAATCCTAGTTTAGAATTGAGAACAGTAATTTCTGGTAGTCTGATCAAAAAAGAAATTAACTAGATGTAAAATAGTAGAACTTGGGAAACTCATGCTTATGCTGCTTGTCTTCTGTCCCTCGTATTGATTCCTGTTCGAATCCGAATCAACCTTTCCTTAAGTGCATGTAGTTCTGAGATAGCATCCTCAATCCTCATTCTTTCACCTGGAACTTCTGCAGAGCATGCAATTCCAATTTTAGCAAAAGAAAGCAGACACTCCCACGTTTCTTCTTCCACGTTCTGCTGACTTCTTGTTCTTTGCCTGTTTTCATCCATCTGTTGGAGCAAGCAAAAATCCAGAATCCCCTTCAAGTTTTCAGGTAATGACATCTTGCAGAAACTGTGAAGACTTAAGCCATCATGAAACAAGTCATCTGCTGGTCTCTTTCCTGTTATCATCACCAAGAGGAGAACTCCAAAGCTGTAAACATCGCCTTCGGGAGACACTGAGACACCCATGCCATATTCTGCAATAATTTGTTAACTTAGAGCACTTTTTTTATACCTAGCTAGGATGCTTTTTCAACTCTTATTGAAATTGACATTTTGGATTTTGCATCATTAATCAATTTTTGAATCAGTGCACAATATTTATGATCTGATTAACTATTGCAAGAATAATTGGCAAAATAAATTATGAAAATGTGGAAACCGGCATCTAACCTAAGGGTATTATCCACTTTGATTCAAAAATCTCACGGTTTTATCTCACAAAAAGAGTCTTACAAATTTGGAATTAAATCTTTATATATATATATATATATATATATATATATATCATAACAAATTTTCAAATTTTCCTCTAGTGAGATCGGGGTGTCACAAAAACATGCTGCCAAAAAGAGTATGAAAATTTACCTGGGGCAACATAACCAATTGTTTCCTTAATCATTGAAGAATTTGTTTGATCTATAACTAAATTGCCTGTGGCACCAGACAAGAGCTTGGCCAACCCAAAATCACTGACATGGGCGACCATGTCAGCATCAAGAAGAACATTGGTCGGCTTCAGATCACAATGGACAATTATTGTCTCACAATGATGATGAAGGTATTCCAATGCATTACCAATATCAATAGCTATGCCTATCCTCTGAACAAAGTTTAAATACTTTGATTCAAGTTGTGCATGCAGCCAGCTTTATAAACTCTCATTACGCATGAAATCAAAAACCAAAGCCTTGAAATCATTGCCTTGTTGTCAATACTTGCGCAAGAAGTGATAATCTTGAAAAGATTCCGGTGTCGAACTTTGCTTAAAGCCTTACATTCAGCTATGAAACTCTTTGTAGCGCCACGATTTTGAGGGTTCAATACCTTCACAGCAATAGGATTCTCTAGTTGAAGCAAATTTCCTCTATATACAGGGCCAAAACTTCCAGCACAGATTAAGTTGGAGGAAGCTCTTTGTATGACACCCGCAAGTGACTATGACCCAACAAAGCTCCAGGGACGAGCTCCCTCTTGGACTTCCTTCTCCAAAAAAATGTAACAAGAAGCACAGCCAAAATCGTGGCGACCAGAAAGCTACAGATCATAATAATAACGACTTTGGTTGACGGAGCATTTCCCTTGTTTTCTGATTCCTGATTGAAGCACTTTGGAAGTTCAAATTCAAGAATTCCCCCACAAACCCTTCTGTTTCCAGTGATAGAAAATGCACTAACATTTTTGAAAACCCCTTCTTTTGGAACTTCACCCTCCAGTTGGTTAAAAGAAAGGTTTAAACTCACTAAAAATGGAAGTTTTGCAAGCTCACGAGGTATGACGCTAGACAAATAGTTATGGGAAAGATCCAAGTTTTCAGGAGCTCTCAAATTGCCAAAAGATTGAGGAATGCTACCTTCAAAGGAGTTTCCCTGCATGTAGAGGATTGTTAGTGCAGAACTGTCACCAAGTTCCTTGCCTATTTCACCAGATAAACTGTTATTATCAACATATAATTCTACAAGATTCTTAAAGCCACCAATATCTGATGGAAGGAGACCAGTGAAAGAGTTATGAGACAGGACTGATCAAACTTTGTAAAGCACAGAACAATATATCTGGTATAGCGCCACTTAGTTTATTTTGCGAAAGGTCCAATATCTACATACTTGTGCATTTCCTGATTGACAGTGGAACTCTTCCTTCAAAATTGTTCCTGGATAACGCAAGTCTAGACAGTCGAGTGAGATTACCAATGGAAGGTAAGATTTTACCAGATAACGAATTTGAAGGGAGGTGCAACCCTTCAAGATTTTGAAGCTTTTCAATGGAATTAGGAATGTTGCCTGTCAAGAAATTCAACCCCATGTGGAAAATATAAAGGTTGACAAGATTGCCAACTCCTTCAGGTATTCTCCCAGAGATCTGATTTCCTTCCATATAAAGAAGTTGGAACCGAGTTGATAAATTACCAATAGAATCTGGCAACACCCCACCAAATCTATTCACATGTAAAACCAATTCCTGCAATCGACTGCAGTTGCTTAAAGAAGAAAGAAAATCCAGATCTCCTGCTTTCCCACTTCCAAGATTGTTATAGTCAATGGTAAACGCTTGAAGATTCTTCAGGTTTCCCAAATTGTTAGGAACTTATCCGAAGAAATTCTTTGCAGATATATCAAATATTGCAGGCTAGAGATATTGGATACTGACCTTGGAATCGTTCCAGTGAATTGGTTACCTCCAATATAAAATATTTCAAGTTTTGGAAAATCAAGGCCTAATTCGGATGCAAGCCTACCAGATAATTGGTTTGCAGTTAGGCTGAAAACAATCAAAGATGAAAGATTGTAAACTGCAGAAGAACAGGACCAGACAGGTTATTGGAGCTGAGAGCAAGTATTTTCAAGTTGGATACTCTACCCAAGGCACTAGGTATAGTTCCCTCGAAATAATTTTTTGCAAGTGCGAGGAAATTCAATGATGAGAGGTTTCCAAAAGAAGATGGAATAGTCCCAAATAAATTGTTGGCACCAACAGAGAATTGAATAAGATTCTTCATACCACCATAGATGAAAGGAATTTTCCCTGCAGGTTATTGTAGCTAGAAATAAGCACTTGGAGATTTGAGCAATTTGAAAGCTCAACGGGCAGTTGGCCTTGGAGATTTTGTCGCTTAGATTTAGATAACGAAGCCGCCTCAAGTGGCCAAGTTCCATGGGGATATTTCCTTTCAACTTATTTTCAGAAAAGTCAGCTTCTCTAAGGAAGGTTAAATTTCCTATTAAAGGAGAAAAGGAACCACCTAATTTCAGACCAGCCAAATTTAGAGAGCTTCCCCTCTGATGCCGAGGACTACATCTAACACCTTGCCAATCACAAAAGTGGAGAGAATCATTCCATGAATTTAGAGCTCCTGGAGAACCACCAACAAGCTGATCCTTCAAAGCAAACAAAACTAGTCTGTCAGTTTCATTCCCCGAAGCCAAGGCATGTTTGAATGATATTGACTGCAAAGTAACAATGCAGAGCAGAAATTTAATCTGACTGATCCATTGGTTTTTCAAGCAGGATTTATCCATTAGTCTAGGAAACAAGCAAAGGGATGATAGACGAGCAACAAACAAGTTTGATGGCAAAACACGACTCCAAAAATTTGAAGTTGAAAGGTCGTTATCCATATGCAATAAAAGAAATTGACTGGACAATGCATTATGAAATTCCTTCGGAGTCTCATATGCAACAAAAGAAATTGATTGGACAATGCATTAAGAAATTTCTCCGAAGTCTCATAAACGCAATTGTTAACACCGCAGATGTGAGACCCAATCTCTCACGACGCTCTGTAATGTTATATAAGTTGAAATTTAACTTAAATTTATAAGATTTTCTTGTGAGATAAAATCATAAATTTTTTGTTCAAAACAGATAATATTTGTCAAGTTAAAAATACAGATTTTCAAAAATAATATTAAAATGATTTTCAAAACACTAAATCGTGAGAGCCACTCTAAAATCTCAACCTCTAGAATCTCAATTTTTTGTATGATTCTAATTTTGTGTTTCGTGTTAAGTTTGATTGAGATCTCAAGTTTTAAAGAATCACATCGAGATATTTTTTTGTGAATTGAATTTGTGACATTTTAATCTCATATTGAAATAATCTGAAAATTTTATGAGTTTATAATATACCAATCTCACATTGAAATATTTTAAAATTTATGATATATAAATTAAAATTTAAACTCAAACTTATCAAATACATTTTGTGAGATAAAATTGAATTTTTTTGGTCAAAGCGAAAAATGGTGCCGGTCTCCACAGCAAAATTCAACAAATTCAACAAGGTTGAAAAAAAAAAGTCATGTTTAGTCAAACACGTAGGAAATTTCTATATTGGCTCATAAAAGTGATGCAATCTAGACAAAACAAAAATTAGTGTTGACAAAGGAGAGTATGAACTCTGAAGCGGTTTCCCAGGCAGTCTTCTTGTTTTCATGTCACCTCTGCCACAGTAAACTTGAAATCAAGTAGAAATGAAAATAACTAGCAATTGATTAAGAATAATTACTAACAAACAATTAATCTTGAAGAAAAGAGAAGTTTGATTTGTCTGAAAGATTTAACTTTTGTCATATAACTGTTATAAAAAGTTACTAATATTTTACATTTTGCTGTTCCTCTTTTACCCTCTCTTCTCAGGTAAGGCACTGTATTTCAGACAAATTTCTAAATAACATTAAGAAAACTTGAGCTGATCAAGGTTGGCGAACAACTCCGATGGTTAATAAAAGTTTGCATTACTTATTAACGAATGCAGACTCAGCCAAGTCGATGGAACGAGCAAGGCCAGCAGCTTTGTTTTGGCATTCATGGTGCTCAGCGTCAGGATCACTATCTGCGACTATACCAGCGCCAGCTTGAAGATAAGCTACCCATTCTTGGCGTCTGCCAGCATCTCTGTACGAGTACATTGTGTCATAGTGGGTTCCTGTAGTGAATACCATGGTCCTGAGAGCCAGGGCAATATCCATATCGCCAGTGAAGGATATGCCCCCGAATCCTCCACTATAAGGGCCTCGTCTTGTCACCTCTAACTCATCAATTAGCTCCATGGCCTTCACCTATATCAGTATCCCAATCATGATCAAAACAAGGGAGGAAAGAAATACTTCCTAAATTAAGGAGACTGTCAGTGATACAACGCATATAAATGAGCAATGCGGCTGTGACCGTAATGCCAGAATCAAGGCAAACTTGAAAGCATACAATCATCATTTGAGAAAACAGGATTTGCATAAAACATGATAAATGACAGTAAGTACTGAACCTTTGGTGCTCCACTAACAGTTCCAACAGGAAGTGCAGCTCGGAGGGCATCCCAACTAGTGAGATGATCTTGCAACTCACCAGTAACCTGCGCAAGTTAAGTTTCAGAATGAAAAAAGGAAAAAGAATCATTTAATTGTATGTCGTATTACTAAAAGAATGTTTAAAATAAATTCTTTGGATTGTTTGGTCATTAAGAAACAGAAATGAAGCAAACAACTAATCAGAACGTTCTAAATGTATTGGAATGCACAGTTTCGTTGTTTGAATCAGAACATTTCAGTTAGACAGCAACAGAAAAGAGGAAATGAAAAATCCTTAAATCACCGGCTCCTATTAGATATGCAATATAACTTACGAAATAAGGCTATAGACCCCAAGAAATTGCAGTCCGAAAATGTCTTTTAACAAAATAAAATGATGAAAATGCATGTAGCATACTGCATACACCATATTATATGACTATTTTATTTGAACAATTATGATAACATGAAAAAAAAATACTACTATTAATAACATAGATGTATTTGCCCAATCATTAATAAAGTGTTTGTACATCTGAAACTATTTTAAGTCACAAAAGTGCTGCAAAAGGCAAAATAGACTCAAATTGCTAAGATAAAAAGAGTTTTATATCAACCCATTTGACAACCGTCTCATGCCTAAATCATAAATCCTAATAGAATAAACTGACTAAACATAAAGCATTGCACTTTAATCTAGGTTAACATCACACAATGTGTGATACAATAAAAAGTTGTGCTTCTTTCCTTTGTAAGCCAAAGAGCAATTTTGGAGCTACCAAAAATGATTTAGAGAGTTTAATATTTATATTCATCTTGTTATGCATAAAGATACTTGAGACCTGAAGAATTTATCAAATCAAGATCTTCTCAGATCTACAATCTACATAAATGAACAGTAGCAAGTATCGAAATAAGAGGATTTCATTCCTTTTCTTTCAGATTAATGAAGAAAATAACAAGTTGGTAACAGTAAGTATTTGCTTGATGGAAAACTAACCCTTAAGAAGAACCATACATGTTTCATTTCATGTAAATAAGTCAATAAACGTTTAGATGATAAAAGCATAGATTCTTACCGTGGAGCTTATGTGCATTACATGTGAATATCGTTCAATATTCATCAGCTTCTGCACCTTTACAGAACCATATTTACAGACCTGCACCAATAATATGCATTTATAAACAACTGGTTGCACACCTCTCTCTTGAAGAGGAAAGATATCGCCTTTCCAATGTAATAAAAGAAGAAACATGAAGTTTTAAGTGAAATTACAAAATTCATTTTTTTAGAAGGAAACTCTGTCATTCACAGGAGGAAATTGGAATGAAATACCACACTAACTAAGCTAGAGAACAGAAAAAAAATTCTCCAAAATTGCATGGAAAGATATACATAATTGAAGTTGCTTTGGAAAGACCTTTCCAACATCATTGCGTCCCAAATCAACAAGCATGATGTGTTCTGCACACTCCTTTTCATTACTTAGCAATTGCTTCTCTGCTATCTCATCTTCAGCTGGTGTTTTTCCTCTCCTTGTAGTTCCTGCCAATGGCCTATTCACAACCTCATTCTGTTCATGCCAATGACAACAATTGAGATCTTAGAATGGCTGTGTAGTGCTTCACAATTTCAAATCAGTAACAAAAAAGGCCAAAATAGTGTAAAAGTTTACCTTCTTTACCCTGGTAAGAATTTCTGGACTTGAAGCAACTAGAATACCTCCTCTAGCCTGGAAGGGCATATGAAATCATAAAATTCGCAAAATGCAACTGCTGAAATAATTCACATATTCACAACTAAATAAATAATTAAAGAAGAACAAACTAACTTGCAAGTAAGCCATATATGGACTTGGATTCACAACTCTCAAAGCTCTATATATTTCAAAGGGGTCAGCAAATGTTCGCCGCTCAAAACGTTGACTTAATACAATCTGGAAAATATCCCCTGCTAGAATATGCTCTTTTGCCTGTAGCACAGCCTTCTTAAACTCTTCGCTTGCCATATTTGACTTCTTTAAAGAAGGGCCAAAATGATGAGTTTGTAAATCTACAAAGCCTGGAGATAGCTTTGGCCTAAGAATAAAATCCAAACAAAATGATATGTCAGATAAATTAAAAGTCATCTGAACTTCATCAAAACAAATGCTACACTATCATAGGTGCTCACAGGTCAACATTCTGCACTCTAGCCACCAACTTCTCGAGATGTTCAACTCCTTCATTATAAGCTTTTTCAACAGAGGAGTGTCGATCTAGCCTCACCCAGTGAATTACATATGCTTTCTGCCAATAAAAAGAACAGTTAATATGACTCCATCATGCTGTTTATATTTCTAACAGAACTGATTGATTATTGGAACACAAATACTGAACTCAGTTTCCCTTGCAAGACAAAGTGTATTGTTGATGGAGTAAAGGATACCTTATCCACATGATCAAATACAATCACGTCATTGTAGAGCCCTAGATGTATATCTGGGAGATTTCTATCATCAGGTGGGGCCTTTGAGAATGGAAGCTTTCTCTTCTCCACATAGCGAACTGTATCATAGGAGAAATAACCAACCCATCCACCTAAATATCATAGGAATTAGTACAAAGTGTGAGTTTAATGATTTCATAGAGAAACCATATCAACCAACAATGAAGTGACATCAGAGTTTTCCAACATTATTTTGAAAACTAAGTACTTACAGCAGGAGAATCTTAATAAAATTATGCACCTAAGAAGTTAAGACAGCAGACAAGTTGCTGGTTCAATACCAGAAAGTAGCTTAATTCCAAGATACTTGATTACCACTGCATGTATAAAGCTACATATTTGCAAAAAGAGTACCTTCATTCAGTTTTATCATTTCTAGCAAATCCAGAACTTAGAGTGCATGTGCGCCCTATTTATTCAACTATTCCAACCTTCCTTTGGATGACTATTCACTGCGCACATCACATAGTTCTAATGCTGAAATTTTTAAGATTTCTTTGATCAATAAATGTAAAAGTATCTGATGATACTTTTACACATCATGAACTTTTGAACCACTCCAATCCCCAGATTTTCTAAATTCACCCATTAATCATTAAGGGTGCCAAAATCATCTGGCAAAGGCTCAGTGCTCCATAAAAAAAAATATATAACATACTATAGCCATAAAACCTCCTAGCAAATCATGATAACCATGCATCTCTCTTGTGCTATACAACAAACTGTAATAAAAAAACAAGCTACCTCACTGATCATATTATAATTGTCACAATAATCACATGAATTTGAGATGGCTACACGTGTTGAAAATCTTTCAATTGCCTTAAAGTGTTTTGCGACATATATTCATGTTTTGTCGTTAGTAACTCTTATCAAATGTACAAAATAACACACTCAAAAGTTCTACATCAAAGCTTCGATCTGCAAGTGTCATTGAACAATAAATAAGCCGTTAAATTACCAACAAGGCGACAACAGCTAACTACTTATTAGTCTATTTTCCTTAATTTGAGCATAGCAAATCAAAGCAACCAATCAAGAAACATCACTGGTGATCAAATAAGGCACGAACTTAAAACCACCCACAAAATCGCAATCGATCCATATTTAATAAAGACTGATGATGAGAGATGCAAGCATATTGTCATCATTACAAACATATCAAACAGAGATTTATGACAATTAAACATGCAAAAGACCAATCATTCTCACCGCAAAATGCATCAGGAAGATCATCAATAAGTTGGGGTTTCCAAGTCTCAGAGATTCTCCTAGGAATCAACATCGGATCTTCAACGACCTCTTCAGTCAAACAACCATCCTCATGATCCATAACCATAACCTTGTTTTCTTTCGCCACAATTTCCATTGTCGGTTGAGCCCCAACCACACTATAACGACCCTAATACAATCAAACTCCAATATCAAACAATATCATAAAACTATTTACCCCGCGTATAAATCATATGGTTAAAGCTCTTACAACACTAGAAACCAGATAACCAGGCTGCACTGACTCAAAAAGAAAACTCGGAGCCTCTCTATCATCTTCTTTAACCAAACACCGGTATGCAAGCACCGGAGTCAGCTGATCAGAGAAAATGCAACGGTAAAGGGGCACTAAGTTTCCATTTTTCGCAGCCTCCACAAACTTGCTTTCGTTAGTAACTGAAAAAAAAAAAAAAAAAACCAAAATAAAAGTCAATTTTCACTTTGAATGAACCAAAAATATAATTATATCAATAAAATCAAACCTAAAAAAAACAAAGGCAATTTATTGGGCCTACTTAACTCATTAAATTGTTCCTTATTCTATCAAAAAATAGAAAAAAAAATTTTAAATCTTTCTTTCCCGCATTTTCCCAGTAACCAAAGGGAAGGGAAATCAAATTTACTCAAATTTCAGAACAATTCAAATTGAAGCCAAAAAAATATTTTTTAAAAATCATTACTTTTTAGTAGACATAAATAATTAAATATGAACTATGAATCAAATTTATTTTAACTTCTCATTAGTTTGTTTTCAATAAAACAGTTCACTTTCATCATTTACTTCAACCATTTCTTTCATTCAAAAAAAAAAAAAAATAGCCTCCCAAAATTTTCTTTTAAGTTTCCCGCATTTTCTCAACGGCCAATCAGTACAAAGAAAAAAACTTATTTTTTATTTTAAAAATAAATTAAATTTACCAAGTGAGGAGCTTGAAAGAGAGTTCCTGCATTTGAGTGAACTATGGAAACAACTCGAAGCGGGAGAAATGCGGGGGGTGACCGGAACTTGAGAAAGCCGGTGACTTGAAGCAACCAGTCGGTGAGAAATTCCAAGGCTACTACTTTGCATTGCCATCGTTAATGTCGAGCTCATCGAGGTAACCGAAACTTCCAGTCGCCAATAACCAACCTGGATTCTTCCCTTGAATTTTTGTGAGAAAAGGGGCTGAAATGTGGAGTTGGAGCCGTTTGAGACATTTATAGAGCCGTGCATGTGCTGCAGTAGAACCAGAAACTTTTTTTCCGATTTTGCCCTTTTTGATTTTTTTTTATTTATCTTGAATTATTTTAGTGGGTTTTTTTTTTTTTTAAGGTATATTTGGTCGGTGTTTTTACTTTTTGTTATTTATTTTTATTTTTTATTTTTTATTTTTTCACCTTTAATTGAAAGAAGCAAAAAGTAAATAATAAAAATGCAAACCAAACCAAAGCAAGCTTTTTTTTTTATAATAAATTTATGGTTTTGTTGTATTGAATTTTATTCTTTTTTGAAGTTAATCTGGTCTTTTTATTTTTTTTGCCAACAATTTGGTGTTTGTTAATAATGGTAAATTTACACCTAAGATCCTACTCAATTACCCACAAATTTAGAAAAAAAAAAAATCTAGGCAATTTTTCTTTTTTTAGCATGAATTTGATGAAAATATACATAAATCTATTCACAATAGATACATTCATATTATACATTTATGAACAATACATGTATTATAAATACATTTATAAACACTATATTATTTTTTTTGTTAGATATATTAATATTCATAAATAATACATAAATTTTTGTTTGGTTTTGAAAGAGGTATTTGAATTCTCTTTTTAAACTGGAATAGATGTAACAAATATGGTAGTAAATCCCAAATGCTTTCAATTTCTAATTACAATTTATTATTGTAAAACTTTTTTTAACATATTACCTTTTTCCTTGGAGAAGTAAATATATATATATATATATTATTTCGACGACATGTAATTGCTTGTAAAATTACAATGTCCAATAAAAAAAAATTAAAATGTTTGTTTTTTTCTTTCTTTCTTTTTTTTTTCCAAAATCATTTTATGCGTTTTGATTTTATTACATTTTCGATTATATACATTATCAAAGTTTTTCAATGGAAATAGAAAGATTTGAATTTTACTTTTTATACTTTATAAGAGATTTTAGAATTTTATTATATGTCTTTTTTGTTATATTATATTATTAATTTTTAAAAATATATTTTAAAAAATATTTGTCAACTTCTTAATTCGAATTTTTAAATTTTATTAATAATGGATGAGATAATTTTTTTAATATATTTAAAATTTTTAAATTTTTTTTATTTAGATATGAGTTTAGTAAAATTATACAAACATGTTGATATTAAGGATGAATATTAATTTAGACATAATTGAAAGCTTTGTTTATCATTTTCTCTTCAATGGGTCTATTTTTTTTATTTATTTGTTAATTTGTTAAAGTACTTTTTTTTTAATTCTAACTTACCCTTAAACTTCCTCAACCATAATAATTATCTAATTAAAAAAGCATTTAATTCATAATTTTTTTTCAAATTCGTAATTTTTAATCATAAACTCTTTGTGTCAGTTGTTAAATGCTTTTAATAAAATGTTTAAGGATGAAAACAAGATAAATGTGTCAAAAGTAACGGACTTTTTTTAATCATTAACTCCATGATCATTGAAAAATGTGAAAAACGGCTGCTTTTTTATTACAAAGAGGCTTGTCTCAAGATTCTTTGTCTTAATAATATGATAAAATAATGATGACAAATTCATAATTATAATTAGTCCTTTTTTTTGTCACTTTTCAGTTAAGTCATAATTATAATTAATTATATAATAAAATTTAAGTGGATTTATCCAAAAATAATGATTTAACTATTTGGATGGGATAATTCTTGATTTCGCATATAATTTGTTCAAAAAAAAAATTAAATTCAAGTCTTTCTCTACAAAAGTTTCCATCCTTGTAAAAAAAATTTTCAAATTTTCTATTGTGAAAATCATATGGGCTATGTCATTGGCGTGAGAACCTAGAATTGTGAAGAAACCAAAATCTTGAGATATATATATATATATATTGTCAGAAATTAAATTTATTTATTAACATTAAATTTTAAATTTCGATATTTATAATAATTGTAAATATTTATTTTATATGTATTGATTTGATTTTTGATTAAATTATTAATTTGCTTTTTAGTAATTATACACTATTTTTGGCCGAAAATGAATTTACATAGATATTTTTTTAATAATTTTATCTCAAGTTTCGACAAATAATAAAGTGATATCGAAAAAAAATTATTGTGTAGTCTAACCCAATTAATTAAAATAAGAAAATCAATTTTTATTTTATTTGTCTAAAAATTTAGTAGTCTGGCTAACCTAGTAACCATGTATAATCCTGCAGGTTGCCTTCTTGCATTGATGATTGGCTAACTAATAAAAAGAACGGAATTGCCAAAACAAAGAGGCCATTTACATAAAAAATCACAATTTAAAAATTAAAAAACAATTATCCGTATTAAGATTTGAAGTCATCTTCAACATTAAATTTGTTACTATAATTTTGGGAAACCATGATTTTTTATAATTTCAAAACTTTATATTAGTTCATTTTTTATATACTTTTGCTAAAAATTTTAAATTTAAATTCTACGAGCATCATTAAGTTGACATGTGTTTATTTATTAATTAATTTTTTAATATTCATAAATATAAGAATACATGTTGATCCTTCAATCTTGGTGAAGCCTCAAAAATACATGACTAATATATGAGATATTTTTCAATCAGTTTAATTATTTTTAAAACTCCATTGTTGAGGATGAATTTTTTTTAATTAATTAGGTTCGATTTTTAACAAAACATTTCAAAAATAAAATTTTAAATTACGTAATATATATATTACGTAAAAAAAGGTTGTTTAAAGTTTTATCATGATTAAAGATATGCATGAAAACAACGTGATAAATCAAAGACATCAAATAGAAAGCTAGAAAGCGAAAGACGCATGGAAAGGTTGGCTTCGAATGATTTTGAGATTTGGTGGGTCCAAAGGTTGCTTTGTTTGGTGTTTTTTTTACCATTGATAATTAAAATTTAAGTTCACGTTATTTATAGATCAGATAATTTAAAAAATAATACAATGATATATATTAAAATAATATAAATAAGTAATATAAACATAGCATGATTTAAAAAATTAAAAAAATTACATTTTATATTTTTATATTGATATGAATTAATATAATTTTTATATAAAATATAATAAAAATATAATATTTTATATTATATAGTGACACAAATTGTTAAATTTAATTATCCATGAAAAATTATTTCACTTCAAAGACTCATGAATCGTGATTGATGGGAGGCAATCAAATCATGTAAAAGAGCAAAATGCTGGGATTATCTAAGGTTTATTTTAACATATGTGAATAATAATGTAATTGCTGTAAATAATAATTTTTTTTAGAAGAAAAATCAAAGCTTAGAGAATAAAAAAATTTGTAAATGTTAAAATGAAATATTAATCTTGCGAGAATTAACCTTTTAAGATTGCTAACCAATTATTTGGGTTAAGTTCTAAGATCCAAGTTTATGATAAACACAGAATAAAGTTTGATTTAATTAATAATTTTACTTTTTTACAACAAATTAAATAAATAATAAATAATAAGATATCAATCGAAAAAAAATTATATTTCTAAAAAATAAGAGTCGGTGAAAATTTGAATTAAATTTTAAATTCATAACATTATAATATATAATATTACAATTCGGTTTTATTTTTTATTTTTTACAAAATTTAAACAAAAATAAATAATATATAGCAAATATGTCAAAATAACAAAGCCTAAACCAAAAACCAAAAACCCTATGTTTTAGTGAAATGTTCCCAAACCAAAAACCCTATGTTTTAACATGTAGAACACGTACATGTACGTGCATGCATAATAATATGTCCCACACTGTTTCCTCAATCACGTCTATATCAAGATAACAGAGGCAACAGAAATATGGAAGCAACTACTAATTCAGACCAAATATATACTATACTCTATAACCATGCCTTGGGTTTGCATCTCTCAACAGCATAACTTAAACTTCACCTGCTCATTGAAGATATAAACATAGGGAAATTCAGTAGTATTCAGTAGATTTCCAAGAAACAATAGGTAATGGATTGATACTGCCCTGACGTCTAGGAATGGGCATGCTACATATATAAATGGATAAACCGGCATCTATCTTTATGTAGTATTCCTAGGTGTGTTAGCATATATCATCCAGTAATTTAAAGGAAATATCATCTTAGTTTAATTCTTAACAAACCTCAAGTACCAAAAAATAATCATAAATAATGGAAAGGAAATACAAATATCGGCTGTTCCCAAACTAGAAATTCAACCAGTGGCCATGCAAGTTCCCTAGAGATGGATGTTTCTATAATGATATGTTCTGACAGACCATGATTTTTTGAATCCTTGAGGCTTTAATGGAGATGGAATATGTCATATATAACTAACCTAGCCAATTAAAATTTCCCTTTCGATGAATTAATACAATCATGTTAGCATTTAAGAGCTACATTCACTGTCTGTCAACACATCACATGGCTGGCTACTATTTATTTAGCCTTTCACCAGGCACTAGGAAAATTGTTAGTTATAGCCTAAATGAAGCAGAAGTTTGGTTCAACACCAAGTTGGCCGTTTACAACTTCTTTAAACAATTCCTTCCACTAGAATTCTATCTTGCAAAGTTACGCTGGTATCCTGAGTTTACTCACTAGAGATTCCTCGTCATCAATAAAACAGGAAATTGGATATTCATCAAAATGCACATGCATTCATCTTTATTATAGTGAAGTGGACTTACCAAGTCAAATCAAAGTTAAAATCCCCTGCCAATACTGGACCAAAAAAATTGGATTAAAAAAAGGAAAAAAAAAAAGAACATAAATGTACCGCAGAAGGGGTTGGGGAGGAAGATCCCAAGTCAGAAAATAAATTGAAATCTACAATTGTATTAAATTTAATGACAGAAGTTCATGAAACAATACTCTCTTCAAACATGCTTCTTATAAATACCAATAAAACATGTAAACCCATGAAGAAAAGAGACAGGTTGTATGTTAACCAGAGAGCTGTTTAGTAACCACTGTTTCTGCTGTTAATTTCAGCTGACAATAGTTTCCACCAGCTAGCATATGTTGCACACTGATCATTACACTTCCAAAATAACTAGCAATCACTCTCAAAATGATTCATTCTATATCACTAGCATGTAATGACAGTAACTTTACAAGACAATTTGTATATCATTCATGGCCATTTCCTCTGACAAATCTTCCTAAGAAAAAACTCCAAGTTTGGCTAGGTAGGTTTGATTGTGCAAACTATTATCACTAAAAATCTGTCTTAATGGAGTCATATGTGAAAGGGAATGGATACGGTAAGCATACAAGCAATCCCAAGATCAAGACTAAAACTCCAAGGGCAACATACCTGTCATTAGGATCAGTGATTTCCTCAGAGAGTGGAGCAATTGGCCCCCTCTGCAAGAAAAATATGAGAACTACCCAGTAGAACACCACATCATTGAATAAAGACAAGAGTCCTAGCAGCCCAATGGAGCGTGCTCAGAAGCGAGCTGAAGCCTGTCCAATTCTCATTTTTATTCCATAATACGTCAGTATCCAAAAAAAGAAGAAATTTACAGGTCATATATTCTGTCATAAACAATAAGAGGTTTAGGTGAAGGTTGTAAAGTCTTTGGCATGACCGCATGAGAATTGTGCAACTCTAATAATTTATTAGTTTTTACTTTAAATTAAGTACCTTTTTTCCCCATATTGCAAAGGAGATTCGCCCCCCATCTAGCTCCCCTGCAGGAATGCCGTTGATTGAATTAATAAGAAGTCCAGCCCATGCCCAAATCACAAGTGGGTTTACTGATGGAGGAGTTCCTTCCTTCAGTACATCACCCAGAAGAAGCTTTGCTGTAAAAGGAGAGAAAGCCTACAATCAGAATACGTCAACTTAATGATACCCTGATAGATGAAAAATATAATGCATGAGCTGGGGAAGAACATTAATGCAAGTGCACCACAATTTAGCTAAGGAATATAATATAACACCAACACTTTAGTAAAGCATCAGAAGACCCACCACTAGTCAAACATGTATATACATGAATGCAAACTGACTCTGAAAGAAAAACTGCTTACCTACACCCCCAACAAGAAATGATTCATGAAACACAGAAGCATCAACAACAACCCCAATACCATCGCTAGATGGCAATATGAAACCTAGAAGGAATAGAACAAAACCCAAGCAAAAGCCAGCTAAAGGTCCAGCTGCTGCAACCTTAAGGAGGTCTTCACACTTGGGGACAATATTTTTTATCCTTGTTATGGCACCAAAAGAACCTAAATGCCATCAAAGCAGTCCATTAGACTTGCTGCATTCATATTTATAAAACATAAAATAGATTAGAAAATGTAGGGAAAATTGTTGCAATTTATGAATTTTTTAATAGACGCGACCATCATAAGAAGCAAAGTAATACTGGCAACACGGATGATTGTCATACAAATCCGTTCTAAGTGACTACTGATGTCCTTCAAGTAAAGAAAGCACAGAAGTTAACAGGATTGGGATCTACATAGAAATGAAAAATTGGAAATGTCACGTGGAGTGTGCTCTACGATATACATTTCTTCTTAATAGAAAGAGAGAGGTACGGTAATGATCTTATATACGGTTTACACACTAGATTGCAATAAAGATTCCCTTCAGAGATAAGGTACCAACTAATAGGAACTAAAAAGGGAAAGGAAAACAGAAGTAGATTGTTTCAACAAGGGATTAGTGTAAAGAACCATGTATATCACCTGCCAACCAGGAATAAAGAATGGAACAGCAAGCTTAACACCTGTGCTCTTTGCTACTAAGATGTGGCCCAATTCATGTACCCCCAGAAGAAATGCAATAACAAAGGCTCCAGGTAGACCATTCAACAACAAGTTGAGATTGTCAAATGTTGATCTGGAGCATTACAATGACATTGGCAGTAATGCAATAAGACAAACTGAATGATCTGATGGAAAATTCTTATACTTCAAAGAAAAAGGAAGCACAGCAAAATATCAGAAACCATATCAACTTAAACTTTCTAATGGCCAGAACCAACTTTATTAGAGAAAAATAATGGAGAGAGAGAGAGAAGGAAGAAGAAGAAGAATGAAGAATCTTTGATCAAGAAAGCTAGGACAGATATGTGCCAAAAGGAATAAATTTATAGTGACAAGTCTAATGTATTATATACCATCTCAAAATGCAAACTGAATAACTAAGTGATCAGTCAAATAGTTATGAGCTTGCCACAAGTCTAAAAATTTATCCTCAGTAGGGAAAACAGCCTAAACAGGAGCATTTTGGTCTTGCTTATGCTTTGATTATGATCACAAGAACAAGCCACAGTTAATATATTTGTTTAGGATGTCAGAGTGAAAATTGATAGAAAATCATACAATAAGTTGGACTGCAGTGTGGGCACGTTCCGAAGAAGTAAGGTAAACACAGTAAGCAGACCAAAAGCCCCAGCTGCAAACCACTCAGGGACCACTGCAGAAAAGATAATTTATTTTCAATAACAGGGATTTTGGTGTATGACAACCGGAGACTGTGATAACATAATAGCATAGCCAACTACCAGTTGTCTCTGGTTGCAATGTTGTTTTTGGAACAACAACTGCCGCTGGTTTGTCATCTTCTGGATTGATAAGAAGGAAAAGCTTATATTCATCGCCAAATTTGTTCTGTATATTGGTTTAGAAGAAACTGGATAAGAAGCAGAGTAAACATACCTGCATCCTAGTAGATATTTTTTCATAACTTCTACCAGCCTGTCCTCGCAGATTTCCTTTGAACAATACTCCACCCTAACAAAACATGACAATAAACATGAACATAAATAAGAAATTTAAAGCCCACAGTTGGGCAAAAAGAGCAAATTAAAATTGCTTATGATTTTCTTTTATCTTATTCCCAAGAACAATATAACACCTATCCAAAGGAGAAATTCAATATATAACTATGTTTGTAAATATTATTATCTCCATGAAAATGTTATAAGGCAACTTTATCTAATTTCAGCCCCTTCAAATGCATATTTGAAAGAAAAAGGAAGGATTAAGAAAGCCTAGAGCTATCAAAATAGCTAACTATCCTCATATGGTTCCTGACTCGTCACGAAGAAAGTATCAAATGCAAATACTTGATCCTTAAGAATGTCAATGGTTTCCTTCGGAATCCTCCTTCATTCATCCAGTTGCTGTGGCTGTTCAGGAAACATGGGAAGATGTAAAGGAAGCAGCAGGAAAAGAAGATCTCTGTTGGAAATTCCAGTTACTGCATGATGATCACCTTCACACCCAGTAGTGGCGATCCGCTAGTAACTTCAATATTGTCAACCTCCTGTATCAAACACATGCCTAATGTGATAAAGGTCAAGCAAGCTATTACCTTAGTCATTCAAAGGTAGAAACCTATATGCTAAATGCGGAAGGCAACATTTTCATGTAGTATACCATAGTGCTAGGTGTTGCTATAGCTAAACAAAGAGTTTTCAATTGGAATAAAGCAAATTCGGTCAAGATAGAGAGGAGATTGAAATTCACCCTTGTTAAGACTTAGGCAATGCATGCAAAACCTATGAAAGTGCACGCAAAAAACATCAGTTGCATGATCTTCCTTGAAGAAACAAGTAAGATAGGGGGTTGCCGCTTGCCTATTGCCCTATTCTGTCACCATACAAATACTATTACAGAATCAAAATTAAATACCTGGACAACGCCTTGAGCTTTATTTTCTGCATCACTATTGTTTATTTGCTCAACATTCATGGGCTGCGAATCAGTCTGGGATTCATTTTCCTCGACAGAATTAGTAGTATCAGTCTTTTCTCCACCTTCATGCTCATCTTCCTCGTACAAAAATTCATCACCTTACATCTATAACATTTCCATTTTCCTCCAAAAATAAACCATATTTTTGGTTTTGGAAGAAAACAGGATCGATCCCTTTTGCTAGGGGATCGATCTGGTAAGGAGGGGATCGATCCCTTCTCTTAGGGGATCGATCCCTTCCATCACAGCTTGCACTAAACATGTTTTGTTCTGAGAATTTGACATATTTTGGTTTTCAATTTGATTCTAGCAAGATAGAAGGGTGAAAAAATGTTCATTTCAAGCTTAGACAAGGTTGATTCAAATTAGGCAAATTTTTGTTTTGTCAAATCAAAATTCTTGATTAATTCAAGGGCAACAATGATACCAGTTTTCAGGATTAAGCACTTACCACTACACCAAAAGATATAGCTGATAGTGAAGGCGTAACTTTATTTCCTTATTCTCTTTTGGTAGCGTACTAAGCGAGCCTCGTACTAAGCGACAGGTGGACATAAAGGGCTTCACAATACACCAGAATCCAATCCAGGGCTTCACAATTCTTCGCAATTCATGGGATACCTCACCCATTAGGCCTGGACATAAAGGGCTTCACAATTCATGAGATACCTCACCTAGATGAATCGACATACCCCGATCCACCATGAGATACCGCTGAACCCCATATGGGATACCACTGGACCCCATAATCCAAATCCAATCCACCATGGGATACCCCACCCAGATGAATCGACATACCCCGATCCACCATGGGATACCACCATGGGATACCGCTAGACCCCATAATCCAACAATCTCCCCGCTTCGCAATTCTTCACAATTCGTGAGATACCTCACCCATTGGGCCTGGACATAATGGGCTTCGCAATTCATGGGATACCTCACCCATTGGGCCTCGACAGGTTGGGTTGCCATACACCCAGATGAATTGACATACCCCGATCCACCATGGGATACCGCTGGACCCCATAATCCAACAATCTCCCCGCTTCGCAATTCTTCGCAATTCATGGGATACCTCACCCTGGACCCCATAATCCAACAATATCCCCGCTTCGCAATTCTTCGCAATTCGTGGGATACCTCACCCATTGGGCCTGGACACAAGGGGCTTCGCAATTCACGGGATACCTCACCCATTGGGCCTCGACAAGTTGAGTTGCCCCATTGGGCCTAAACATAAGGGGCTTCGCAATTCATGGGATACCTCACCCATTAGGCCTCGACAAGTTGGGTTGCCATACACCCAGATGAATTGACATACGCTGGACCCCATAATCCAACAATCTCCCCCTCCCCACTTCGCAATTCATGGGATACCTCACCCATTGGGCCTCGACAGGTTGGGTTGCCATACACCTAGTGAATGGACATACCCCGATCCACCATGGGATACCGCTGGACCCCATAATCCAACAATCTCCCCCCAGCGGCACTTGGGGGATTCGAACCTGCAACCTCACTCTGATCCCACTACCACTACACCAAAAGCTATAGCTGATAATGAAGGCTCAACTCTATTTTCTTATTCTCTTTTGGTAGCGCAGAGTCTCGTACTAAGCGACAGGTGAACATAACGGGCTTCGCAAAGCCTTCATGGGATACCTCACCCATTGGGCCTCGGCAGGTTGGGTTACCATACACCGGAATCTGATCCACCATGAGATACTCCACCCAGATGAATCGACATACGGAGTCCCTAAGGGAGACCGCTAGACCCCATAATCCAACAAAAATTATCAAGAATTTGAGAAATGATAGCATATAATTTAAATTTGACATTATCCAACAGCATCTGAACTCAAGATTATCAGTTTCAACCACTGCCATTTTAGCCAGAAAGCTTCTGCTTTGTTCTTGATCGTTTCATTCTTAGAAAGGAAAAAGAAGTGATCAACTGATCCATCGAGTTTTTTTAATATATTTGAGGCAGTTGAGTCTGATAACTAAAATTAAGAATCCAATACTCTACCAGACTACATTGTTGTTCGTGATCGTCCTAATATTTAAAAGTCACATTCAGATTTCTATATAAACCCAAAATGATACTTTCATTGGGATTTCTAATAGCAGAGTTTTGAATAAAATCCCAGTAAATATATACCAATTTTGTTAGCTTCATAACAGAGTAATTTACAGATAAAACAGTTCACATATCCTCTGGTTTTACATCCCACCTTTTTCTCCTCTCCCTGGAACTTGAAAGCTGGTTTTCTATTTCTTCTGCCAATGGTCCTGGTCTTAGCTCCACAACATCCTCCTCATCATCACTGCCAATCCAGCCATAGTAAGGCCTCCGCTTCTCGGTTGAACTACTACCTGGCAGTGGTGGGTTATGACTAAGAGGTGGAGTAGAGTGGCTAGTACTGCAAGCATGCCTTCTCACAGAGCCTTCAGCTTCAATTGATGGCAGATGTTCACAATCTGATGATAATGAAATTCATTACTAAACTTAGATGCAAATCGGGATATTGGAACAAAATGCATGATTGTTTAATGTGTCATGGTAACATTCCTTATCTGTATGCTTCTCAAAGACATAAGTGAAAAGCTGCTACTTATTTCAATTGACTCCAAAAATTTATCAGAACCTGCAAGTTTCAATGGGAAAAATCAAAATGGAAAACCTGATTACCAGATTCATTTGTCAGTTTTGCAGTGCCAAAAGCCTCATCAGCCTCTGATGCATTGTCCAAGACATCGCTGGTTTGCAATGTAGTAATAGGAGGATTCACATCAGAGCAAGCAGGTTCAAGAGTCCCACTAACAGTCTCAGCAGCTGGTTTCGTGGAATCATTTGTTCCTTCTCCATTGACCTTCAAAAACGGGATAAACAAAATGAATGTCAAAAATAGTCGATGAAACCATGGTGATTTAACACAATATCCAATATCCAGCAATCTGTCAAGGATATGCAGCATGTTCAGATAACACAGTCCAAGAAACAACAACAACAAACAACCTCAGCATATCAGCAAGCAATGACGGCAGGTCAAATCTCCACAAGATCAGTTGAACATAACTATATGGTTCTATATCTCATTGCATTTGAATGTGTTTGAATTTTCTGATAATGCAACAAACGTTTAAATTTCTAGTTTTAAACTACAGAGGTACTTGAATATATATCACCATTACAGATTTATGAAAGTGAGCTTTCCACCCAAAAGCTGTTACATTTACACAATCAACTTCATCAGGAGTGGAAGATGAACTGAGAGGTTAATTATTTGGAAGAAAATATTACAAACATAAGGAGCCGAGATGTAACTTTTTCGGAAAAAAAAAAAAAAAAAGAATCCTAGGAATCTCAGCTTTTGAAAAAAAAATCTAAGTTTAATAAGAAGCATAAAAGAAATAAAGCTTCTACCTTTTCAAGTATAGCTTCAAGCAAAACCTTGTAATAAGCCTCTTCAATGAAGGGCCACCCTTCTTCCCCATACACCTGAAACAAAACAAACCCACAAAAGTTTCCATTTTTTTTGCTTGTTTCCTTAAACGAAAACAGAAACTCAATAAAAACTTCAAAATGTCTTCTTTCTTTAAGAAAAAAAATGAAAAGAAAAAGGGAACCCACTTTTTGGAGTTCCTTCATGGTTTTAACAACCATGTTATTGGGGAATCCAAATGGCTTCATTGCATCAATGGCAGCATCCATTCTTGTATTAGATCTCTGCAAAAAGAGAAAAAATGAGAAAGAAGAAAGACAGTGAAAACAAGAAGGAGGACGTGAAAGATAGAGAAAGAACAACAAAACAAAGAAGAGTAAGAAAATGCAAAAAAAAAAGGAAGAAGCTTTTATAAAATGTGAGTGAAGATGATTGACAAGAAGAAAGAGAAGAGAAAAGGAGAGAAAAAAAGGGGAATTGAAAGAAATTGCCTTTCTTGAACGTCCTCTTGGAGCCATTTCTTCGGAATTAAGAAAGAGGAAGGAGGTGCAGAGACAGGGCAACAGTGAGAAATAAGCCGACAATAAAACAAGAAAGTTTCTCACTTCTTCTGAGTTTTTTCTTTGTTTATTTTCTTGTACGCTTGGTCTAAATATTAATTTATTAATAAAAAATTATTTTTATTCAAATCACTTTTAAAATATATTTAAAATAATAAAATATTAATATACAAATAATTTTTTACTTTAATTAAACTCTACCTTACATTTTTTTTTTCAAAGCTTTATTAGCTCCAAAAGCATAATATGATTTTTAAGGGTAATGATTTGGTAACATCTTTCTTTCATGAAAAGTTGTATTTCAATCACATAACAGTTTGGAGAAGTGATTTCATGCCTCATGTGTAGCTATTTCATTTCAATGCAGTTTTACATGACAGAATATACAGATTTTACATGTCAATAAACTGTTATCTAGATAACTATGTAGATTTGAATAACAACTTGTCTGACTCAATCCGAAAGGGCAGATGGAGATCGAGTCTGTGATGTTTTTTATTCATTAAAGTTTAGTAATTGGGAGAACTATTAACAGTTAATCAGAACTGCCAATGGCTGGTGTTAAGTAGACAATATCTTCCTCATCATCATCATCACTGGAAATCCAACCATAACAAGGTTTCCGGGTCCGAATTGGTTGAGAACCCACTGGTGATGTCGATTGCATATGTAATGGAACTCCGGCTGAGGATGATTGTGGAGAGGGAAACTGTCTTCCAATAATGTCAAGTGAGGTTGAATCTTTAGAGGAGCAGGGAACGATGTCCATTTCTGGCGGTGGGCAAGTTATGAGAGGAGGGTTGACTGGAGCAGACTGACTCTGTGGGGAGTGAACCGGGAAGGGGCAAGGTTGTGTTCCAGATTCATCTTCCATATTGTCATCCTGTGGGGAGCGAACTGGGGAGGGGCCAGGTAGTGTTCCAGGTTCATCTTCCATATTGTCATTCTGCCAAATAAGAAAAAAAAGAAGTACGGGAAATCTAGGTAAATGTAACATCACTGATATGCATACAGTGCACAGCAGTTGCAGAGGCAGCTAACACATTTTTAATGCTTCAAAACCATGTCAAACAACCATAAATATCATATAGAAACACCTTATCTCTCTATTCATTTCCAGGAGATACGGAATAGAACAGAAACTTTCCTCAACATGCATACCCTGACAATATAATTTCAGAATCAAGTTGTAGAACTTTGATTTTTTAACTGTTCACCCAAAAGTTATGGGTGATTAACTTCATATTTAAATTCATGTGATATCCATAGAGATATAAATAATACTCACAAGTCATATTCTTAATTTTTCAATGCTGCATTGAAACTTTAGGATGAACAACATTCATTCAATAACTTACAATTATCTAGATCTAGTATGCTTGTAAAAGACAAATTGAATTCTCCAACAGCCAGTGCAGGAAGTTGTCTAGTACCGGTAATAGCTAACACAATAACAAGGACAGAACATCTAAGTTAAAATCCTTAAGTTTGAAGCTTCTCTTCCCTTCTTTAATGAACAAATCAGTTGTGCATGTGATCAAGAACAACATGACAAAACTGAATCAAAAAGCCCCAACAGAACACGTACACATTGAACACAAGCATAACAAAATTCTAAAATTGCTTGCCATAGTGAAAATTAACTAGTAAATTAAGAGATCAATTTTCATAAAAAAAAAAAAAAAACCAGGATCATCTATGATTAACTATAAAGTTTCATCTATTGCGGGGAACATCACTTATTTGAAGTTCTATGTCATGCTCCAATGATGTTGTCCTTAACAACAAAGTGTTTGGTATGCAACAGGTTTAAGATGCATACCAGATCTGCTACAGGCATCTAAGTCAAAATACTGTGAGAATAAACCATGGTAAACGCAAGACTGTTTTTCTGTTAAATTTTGCATGTCTTTTGAATGATGAACCTGGCAGTTGCTTAGAGGTGGTTTTCTAGTAGTTATGCTGCAGTTATCTGATTCCAATTCCATGCTCTTTGGTTCCATTCCATTATCTAATCAAGGATGTGATATCGAAAATCCAAATAAGAATATAGAATCAGAAAACTTCTGTGACAAATCACTGCTCAGGGAATGAACGGCATCTCCTAGAGGCAAAAACAATCATTAACAGTTTATATGATTCCAATTCCAAAACTAAATTCAAGTAATTCTTAGCCAAAGAGCTTCATATCCCAAAAATTCATTTTCTTTCCATGGGCTGAATTTTCACAACCACCAAACAAAACATCACTGATATATATTCTCAGCAACAAAACCAAGCTTATCGCATACATAAATAAGAAAAACGAAAACAAACTTAGTAAACAACATAAAACAAGTACCTTTTTAGAGCATTTCTCTTTCAAATTTTCCTGTTCAGTATTTGCTTGCTCCTGAAGAATTGTATCGATGACAAGTTGATAGGAATACTCCTCAATAAATCTCCAACCATCATCTCCACCATAAACCTAATCACACATTGATAAATAAATAAACAAACCACTCCCTATATTTCATCAAAGTATACAAAACAAACAAACAAACAAATTTACAGTTACTAGAAGGAAACACAGATGAGAGAAAGTCCCAAACTTTTCATTAAAAGTTTCATGTTCTGCAATTTCCCAGTATACTTTGAGATACCCAGAAATATATCAGTGACAGAAAATCCGAACTTTTGCATGCCAAAAAGAAAAGTTCAAATTTTAATGATAAAGGAACCATCTTTTTCTCTTTCTAAAATTTTCCCAGAAACCAAAAAGAAGTTAAAAGGACGTGCATACATACGTACATACATACAGGAATGTATGAGAGAGTTACCTTGAGAAGATTTCTGATAGTCTTACGAACCACATAATCAGGGAACCCCATCGGACGAAGAGCATCGAAAGCAGCATCAATGCGCCTGAAACCAACCTGAACCAAAAAAAAAAAAAAATTTGAAAAAACAAGAGAAAGGCTTGGCATGGAAACTATAAAACAACTAAAACAATATTGTTTAACCTTTGGAGTTTTTCTTCTGGGTGCCATTCTGTCAATGAAACTTCTTCAACAGAGCCCTGAAGACAAACCGTGGAGTGTTGAGAAGAGACTAACGTTTAAATGGAGATCTTCTTGCGTTTCGGTTACTGAATCCTGATCAAATTATGCTAAGAATTGAAGAGCTATATTTATGGGGTTTACCTGAGTGCTCCAAACTTGCCATTTGGGTTAAGGACTCAAGGCCCATGGCTGGAGCCAGAGGGCGGAAAATCTTGATGGCCAAGAAACAAAAGCTTCTTGATTCCGCAGTCTTTAAGTGCCAAGTGTCGATCATGAAAAGCTATTCCCAGTCTCATTTTAATCTTTTCTGGCTCTTTACTCTTTTGACTCTCTTTTCACTTGACAATCATCGCAGAGTCATGGCCTTTCATCTTCAGCACTAAGTAACCTTTTCTTGGAAATGGAAAACATTTAAATTTATGGCTTCTTTTGTTCCCAACCAATGGAACTTGGGAACTGTTGATTTAAGCTGGCAAAAACGTTTCTCCGAGCTAGAAGCTGTCCAATCTGCATTTCTATATAAAGTTCGTGTTAATGGGTCATATCTTATCTCATCCTTACATTCCTTAAGGAAATCCAAATCCTTCAAACTACACTAGTAAAAGAAGGCTATGAAGCCTGCATTGTTTGGGCTCAAATCCAGGAAATAGCTAACGCAAAACAGAATTAGGCCCCAAAGAAATGGTGGCTAAGGGGACTAAGAAAAGTATGATTTGGACTAAAATCCAAGCGCCACCTATGCTTGGGAGTAATAAGATTCAATCGGATTCGTTTCAAATTTTTTGAATTATATATAATATTATAAATTTTAAAAATTTAATCTGTAACTGAATCAATTTTTTTTTGAAATCATATAAATCAAATCAAATTTTATCAATTAGTTCGATTCGATTTATTGATTTTTAAATTTAAATTTTTTTATTTTTAAATATTATTTTAATAAATATTTTAATATATTTAAATAAAATTATAAATAAATAATTATTTTTATTTTATAAAAAATTAAAATATATATAAAAACTAATAAAAGTATATAATCCAATTTGATTTAATTTTTTATATTTTTCACATCTCCATTTAAAATCTAATTTAAATTTAATATATGTTTAATATCGGATTTTAATTTGAACAAAAAAAAATCCAAATCATACACTATATTCAAACTTCTCAATTTTTTTCTCACCCTACCTGCAGCCAAATCAAACCCACGTTAGTTCAAGTAGAGGGAACCCTTTTTGCTTCCGAGTCAAAAGATTCAATCGACTTGAACCAAAGCCAATTATGTGATTGACACCATCATGACATAGATTCTTTTGTGTCTCACTTCTTTTCTCTTCACAAAAACACTTTTTATGCACTTTAATACGTGGAAAAAAAAAAGTATATATATAAAAGAAACGCATGCCTTTAAAAATGGGAAAAGATTTGTAACGAAATTAAAAAAAACGGTGTGACTCTCGTGGTCTCTTTATTTATTTTTTTCTCAATGCACGTTTCCTTAAAAATTAGTCCTTTGTATAAAGTTTGTTGCTTTTTACCCAAAAATATAATAAAAAGCTAAGAAATGTTGAAAATTTTATCTTTTGTACATAAGTTTGGTTGTCTTCATTATCAAATTAGCCAATTTCCACCTCATGTTTCTCATTACTTTTTCATCTTAAAGAATATATATATATATATATATAGTATTTTATGTTTCAAAATATCTTGTTCTTGAAGATAAGCAGAGATTGTATGAAAATGAAAGTTGGCTATGAAAGAACAAAAGAGGAACAATCAAACAAGAAAGAGAAAAAAAGTCTGCTAATTTTTTGTGGGTACATTGTTATACAAGTTGATATATGTCACCTATTTGTATCATTGTAAGTCATTTGTGTGAAAAATGTACTTTCTTAACATCCAATGAAGTCACAATGGCAATTGCATCCATCAAAATGTAATTGATATGTCATATATGATTTTTTGAATCATTGATTTTTGATAATTGGAATTGCAAAAATTTAAATTTTAATCACTGAAATTAAAATTTTAATTAGCTGTCTATGTTTTTTAACCATTGATTAAAACGTAATGGATTTATCATATATGAAATTTTGCTTAATCCATTCATAATTAAATCTAAAAATTATGTGCATGTATCTCCTTAGATTATGAAGAAAAAAAAAAAAACACAATCGAATAGTTGAGTGATTTATTGATAAAATATTTGGAATTTTTAATTATAATGATCATGACTCTCTCTCTCTCTCTCTCTCTCTCTCTCTATATATATATATATATATATATATATATATATATGATGAAACAATAACCAACAAAAAAGATTCATAGGCATGGGGTATGGGGATAAAGATGAAAGTAACAGACACCCAAATCACTGAAAACAACTATTTTAGCATCCATAAATCAGGGGCCCTTGGCCAATTACTTCCAAATTTGACCAGTCAAAAACTTCCAAAATAGATCAATTGAGTAACACTAGAGGACAATTTAGTGGTGGGTTCATGTGAAAAAGAAAACATAAACAGCTGAAACATATGAATTTGTCAAAGGAATTTAGATGTAAGATTATATATTGTAATTATATGATTTGTATTGATATGAACTAACATGCAAAATGGTTCAATGGGGAAGCTAGCCAATGTACAAACCATGTGACAGCTAGCCAATGTCCAAACCATGTGAAGAAATACCAGCCTAAAAGGATTGCTGTTGCTTCCATTGACAAAAGATAGATACTAAGGGAATACAACCATTAACAATAACTGATAACTTGTAGAGAAAGGTAGAACAAGGAGAGAGGAAACTATAGCAAACTGAATATACCGGAGATGTCCATGCCTCCCTACCAGCGTATGATACAAGAGAGAAAAGATGATATAATGCACTGTGGTTGGAATGTAAACAAAAAGAGGGTTTAGATTTGAATCAAAGTTTTAATTCAGTGATGTTTTGTTGAAGGTGAGGGTGGACACTGGTAGCACTTGGCAAAGAGCCCGAATGTATCGACTTGTTTGATGAAATTTGTCATACTAGCCCAACCTCCCAATCCAAAGCCAAGTACAAACACCCATATGACAATAAATGTGTTCAGTGCATACACTGCTGTCCAGCTTGGGAGGAAGAAAGGAAGCTTCTCAGCTGCATTCTGCTCAAACAAGAATAAATACCAAAGAATTAAAGTAAGTTGGTGAATTACACAATGATGAAATATTCGTTTGATGGTCTAAAAGGTTAAGTTTTTTGTTTTGATCTGCTGTTAATGTGAAGAATAAGACTTTGATGGTTTAGCCAGCCTACCGGCTACTTGAAAGATGTGGCCAGCACAAAAGTTAAACTGAGTGACAAGGAAATGCCACCAACCTCATCTTTGTTTCATAAATTATGTGTATCTCTACCGTTGAACCACTGGTGGGGTAAGAACTGTGGTGACTTAGGATTCGAAAATGGCCTACAATCTTATGTCTGGAATCATATCAGCAAAATAGTACAACTAGTTTTCAACATGAAAGAGTATCCTGAGTTAATTAACAGCCTGTTTGAAAATGATTTTGTCGTTAGGTCATGAAATTGTAAACACTTGAATACAAAAATTACCAGACAAGGCCTCTTATAGATGCAAAACACAGGAAAGGAAAATTACACCTAGAAAACACTCTGACTTGTCACAAACTGCTGAAAACCTTGTATGATTGCTTCTCTAAGTTATATCAGACAATAATCACATACTAGGAATTATCAAGATCATCTAATCAGGTCTGTCAGTAATCAATCAGGATCCCGAGGTGCCTCTTGAGCATCAAAATTACCACCATAAAGGCTATCCTCAGGAATCATCCCACCTATCAACAGGTGTATCTATCAAACTGTTTTGATCATGATGGCTAAGAAAGGTTGGCTTATAATGATAGACTAGCAACATAATTGAGGCATTCGACAATGCCAGCCAGGTTGCACAAACATTTGGTAGAAAATGAAGATAAGAAATGAAGAAATTGGACCATTTAAAGATTTACCTGTCGGGCAGAGGCGGATTTATAAGTAAGCATATGAGCCAAGGCAGGGATGATGTAGACAGTGAAGCTGACCAGAAGAGATCCTACAGCCGAGTTTATGGGACCAAAGAAAGGAAATATGATAGCGAGGAACCAAATAGGTATCACCACAGGTAACCGGCACACTGCCCTAAAACATATGCTCTTTGTGTCATGCATCCCCACCACTTTCTCCCACACAAAGTATAATGGTGTACACGCAAACCCAAATGTAATAAACTGTAAAATTAGAAGCCAAAGCAATTGATCATGTCAAATTTCACTAATCCAATAAGGCTATGATAGCATAAAAATCGGTCTGTACAATATCCACAAACCTGGTGAATTAACATTAGAACAACTGCTGCATCACGCCACCCAGAGCGTGGAAGAAGTGAAAAGGCATTGGAATGATTAAGGAGTTGATCACCGAAAGCCCAGTAGACTGAAGCAGCCGATGGGATGGTCAGGGTGAACACATAGAGGGTGGCCGATAGATATATGTACTTGAATTTTTGAGGCTTCCACATTGCATGCATAATTTCACTGTAAAATTCATCAAAAATTTGTCCAAAACTCAGTTTTACACAACATCTGTAATAGTCCAGTCAAAAGTGACCAAAGGGATAAGATTGCCACTTTTTAGTAAGGTAACAGGATATGTCTAAAGATCTCCTGCTAAAGAGGGGGAAAAACCTTGGTTAAAGTAGCAGAGGACCCCCTGCAATTATCATGATGCAAACCCCACTCAAAGAAATGGATTTTAAAGAAGCTCAACTCAACCAAAGAGTACAAATTTCATTATTTCACTTCTTCGTCATATTCTTTTTCCCTGTTGTATTTATTTCAATAATTTTGACCCATAATCAGATTTGATGCACGCATTAATAACCAGTCGAACAAGTAAATTACCAACCTACCAGAATTGATGATTTTGCAGCAAAATATTTAGTAAAGAATTGACTGCAACTTTTGACCAAAACGGGAGACAAGAAAGGTACCAAACCAGTAAAATTTGAATCAAGAGTAACTTTACCAAGTGAACAAAGGGATATCAATGAATTTGTTTGTGCAAACTTGTCTCTTTCCCAAATCCCAAAAATGGCAAACAAAAGCTGCTAATGATATCCTACTGTAAGAAATTTATATTTTACTGCATTTGCAAAGTTTCAGTTGAATAAAATAAAGCAAGCATTATATATATTTTTTGGAACTGTAGTAATAATAATAACAGCACTTACACCGTGACAGCATGTCCGCCGAAAGTATATAGGATATTGGTGGCGCCAGTGAAGTACAAAACCAACTTAGTTGGACCTTGGTGAGTTACACCTTCCACCTGTAAAAGAAATATGGTAAAAAAATTTGAGATTAAGTAAAAAACTGAGGAAAGATCAAGCCCATTTCTTTGTTTTTTTTACCTGGCCATGGACAAGGGCTGCAATGGTCAAATACCATGCAGTGTAAGTGGTCATACCAAGGCCCAGAAAAGACCAGATTCTATAATTGTGAAATGAGGGGATGAACACTGTGGTAGCACAGCAAGCTCCAAAGATATAAGTCCATGTCCTTTTGTCTAACTTATCATTTATGTAATATATGTTGCTGTAATGAACTCACAGAAAACATCAGAAATCAGTTGATTAAATCATCAAAGTTGAGAATTTAATGAAAGAACTTTGGGGAAAATTAAAGAAATGGGACCTGGCACAGGCTATAAGCTGAATGACAGATCCAAAGAGCAGGAAAGTGCAGTTAAAAGCCAATCCAACAGCTTTCCACGAAGGTCCCAATAAACCATCTAACACTTCAAACCACTGCATGTTAAAAAAAATTGTTATTTTTCAGGTATATTTTTTAAAAGCGTCTGTTGATCTTGAAAAGCTAACCTGTATGACATGGTTCTTGAAGCTGACATTCTCTTTCTCTTTTCTGCTTCGGTACTCAATATACAGAACACTGATGAGATAAGCAGTCCAGCTTCCAATAACACCATAAAAAATCTGCAGAATAATCCCTGAAAGCATTCCCATTTGAGAGAAAGAATATGGCAGTGTTAACAGAACTTGAGCCACCTGCAAAAAACAAAAAAGAGAGAAGGAATCTTTATCAGTTAAAAAAAAAAGAACTAGTTTTTACACTACTTTGATTACAATTTTGATTTGGGATTTTAGTTTGGTACCTGATTTGAAGCACAGCTAAACCAGGCATCATAAACAGAACCACCATGCCAAAGAAGACTCTTAACACTGAAAATGGAAAGATCTCCTTTTTCTTCCTCTTTTTCTTCACGTTCAGTAGTCTCATTAAAGCAGGGTACAATTGCTTCCTCTGCCTGTTTCTGTCCTGACATTGCTTCACTTCTCTATGGATCAAAAACAAGCACAAAATCAAACCAAACCAAACCAAACCCACCAGGCAAAACCAATCATGAAGTTAAAAAAAAATAATAATAAAAGCAATTGTAGAACATGAACCTCAAATATTTGACTATGTTACCTTATTCCAGGGAGGGTCTATTGGCAGTGACTTATAATAAAGAAGTAGAGAAAGAAAAAGACAGATACTTGACAAATGTAAAACGACCCGGAAATCAGCTCAGCTTCTATAAATGATCTCAAAGAAAGACAGAGAGAGAAAAAGACTGTGTATTTATCTCGTTTTACAACAGGAAACCATAGTTTTTGGGTGGCTGTTACCAGCTTTAATTTTTCTGGTTCAAAGGAGGTTATAAATTTAGAAGAAGACAGAAGCCTCACAACTCTAAACAAAAACTTGTAATTCAAAAAGCTACCTAAAAACCCTTTGTACCATAAAAAATCATTTCTTTTCACACTTAAAAAAACCCAACAAACAATAAAAAGCTTTCCTGTTCTTCTCTTGAAGAAGAGATAAAATCATAAAAAACCCTTTTTTTTTCTTTGAGAAACGAGATCTGTCAGGGAGAAGCAGCACCTGAGAAATGCAAGAAAGGAAAGCTGAGCTACTAACTAGGAAACTAGAAAAGGGTGGGCTTTGCTTGCTTCGCTTTTACAGTGTTTTCAAGATAACAAGGAGAGAATAAAAACTGCAAACAAAAACAAGAAGAAACCCTTTTCTGGTTTTTCGTTTAAAGAACACAAAGATTAGCGCCCGAGTTTTCTGCTAAGACATAAGAGTGGCAGAGAGAACTTTTAGCTTCTTGCGTTAACACTGTTTCATAGTCTCTGGGTGTTGTCTGTCTCAGTTACTAAATGATCCTATGACAAAAAAAAAAGCCTTTTTAAATTGGTTTGTTCCTTGGTTACTGATCCAAATCTTCAGTAACAGTACAAAATATTTTTTATTAAAATTTTCTATTTTTAAATTCCATTAATGCAATTGTCATTTAATAGTTTGGAAAACATTTTTCAAAAGAGAAAAAGTAAAACTCTAACCATTCACATTTACTTGTTTGATTACAACTGTTAATCAAATTATTCATATAAAAATAAATAATATATAAAAAAATCTTTCACAGACGGGATAGGAAAGTGAAAAGAAAATGAAAAAATGGCCATCATAGATGAAAGCATCATGATAATAAACTCTGCATGGCTTCTGGTAGTAGTCATGAATCACTGGCACTTTCATAACTACAAGTCTACAGCCATGATTGCCAAAGCATTAATTTTCAACATAAAAAATACAGAAGTAAATTTTGGGCATCTCAATGATGTTTTCTTGGGAAAAAAAAAAAACTTTTCAAATAATACTCATTGATCAATATGTTACAGTCAAAATATGTTACAGTCAAGTGAAGTTAGAATTGAGAAAAAAAAAAAAGAAAAATTAAAAATATAATATTTAATTTAATTTAAATTATTTTTTTTATTCGAATTAAATTTAAATATCAAATACATATGTTAAATTTAGATCAAATTTTGAGTAAAAATATGAAAAATTAAAAAAAAAGAATCAAATTAAATTATATATTTTTATTAATATTTATATATTTTTAAAATTTTAAAAAAACAAAATTAATTATTTTATATATAAATCTATTTAAATATGTTAAAATTTTTATTTAAATAATATATCAAAAATAAAAAAAATAAACGTAAAAATTGATAAATTAAATCGAACTAATAAAATTTAATTCAATTTAAATTGATTTTAAAAAATATTAATTTAAATTCAAATCAAATTTTAAAAGTTTATACTATTATATATTATTTTAAAAAAATTAAACGATTTGATCCAAATTATTAACACTTTTAAGCGAAACCAATCTTCAGTTTCAACCTTTGCCTTGCTTTTCCCTTGCCTTGTTCAATTATCCGAACGTGAAGTCTATCCATTTATTAACAAATCAATTGATTTAAAAATGAAATATTACAATTAAATCAATAAATTATTGTCACATAAATGAGAACAAAAGAATTGGAACAAAAGCAGTGAAACAAATAATATTTTTCGTAAAAAAAAAAAAATGACAGTACACTAAAGTTGAATCAATTGATTATTCATATTCTAACAAAATCCGAAATAAATTTCATGGTAATTAAGAAAGATTAAATTCACTTACCAAGAAGTTGGACCAAAACATATCAAAAGATTTGATAAATTTCTAGATTTGTTGTTTGAAAGATACAATGTATTGACAAAAATATGGAAGAAAAACATAATTTTAATGATGATTTATTTGGTAATATGTCATAGGAAGTGTTGGTCAATCTTACCATCAATGCCTTTCAAAAACAATGGATAGAAGCCAAACAAATGGCATTTTTGGCTAAGCCAAAACATATTATTGGTAAAAAAAAAATTAGGTGTAGTTACGGTTAAAAAAGTCTTAATAAAAAGATTATGTTTAAAAAATTCATAAGAAATGTTTAATTAAAAATTTTCAGTATTTAATATTATTGTGAAAAAAATATTTTTGAGCAATTGAAATGTCTAAAAATATATATAAAATAATATAGTAATTTTTATTTCAAAAGCATTTTTTTACCCAAAAAAATGTCTTAATTAACTTTTTTATTTAAATTACAAAACCAAAGTTTTAAATTAAACACTAATTTTTTATTATTTAATATTAAAATCGAATTACAAAAAACTTTTAAATGCAAAAATTATTTTCTGACAATAAAACTACACTAGGCCAAAGACCCTTTCTCACCAATAAATGATTTTGCCATTTAAACCAAAATGTCAAAATCTGATAACAGTGTTCTGAGCAGTAAACCACCAAATCTCAGAAATGCACAATGAAACATCATTTGGATGGAAGCATTGTCATCTCATAAACATCACATAATTGTGTTAGGTAAATGTGAAAGAAAAAATTATAATTACAACCAAAATTTTCTTTCAAAAATAAAATAACTCATGGCAATTAATTATATTTAATAATATAATCAAAGAAATTTTCAGATTTTACCTGCATCATTTTTTTTCTATATATATATATATATATATTTTGGACATGATAAATAATAAGTCAATGTTGCTTATTATTCATTATTATGGTATGCATGCAAGAGAGAATTATTCATTATTATGGTATGCATGCAAGAGAGAATTAATCTCTGGAAAATATCTTTGAATTGCTATTATGAAGCCAAAATAATCCACTGTATGCAGATAGGCCCAAGGCATTCAAATGTGTATTGCCAAGCCATTCCTCCACTCAAATACAAGGGTCATAACATGAATAATTATACCATTCAATTGCCATTGACCATTGCCAGATTACCATCTTTCGAGAATCTGCCAAATATTATACCTATATCCTTGCATTTAAAATGCTTTTGAATTAAAAAAAAAAAGTTTACATCAATAAATTACTCAACTATTCTCTCAACTCAAATTCTCATCAAACAAACAAAAAAAATTACAGTATTAAGTGATTTTGAGTTAAGAAAATGTAAAATTCAAGAACTAAAAGTTAAGTTTCGAGCTGAGTTTAGGCTTTTTATTTATATCTATTCGTGAAAAAAGCTTTCTCACCAAAAAATAATTTGAAATCATTTTTCCACATTAATTTTGAAATGATGTTGAAACATAGAAAAAAGAAAAAAGAAAAGAAAAGATGTGAAATAGGAGTTGGACTTATCAAAGCAGGTAAGTGAAAAGGACCAGCTCTCATCAGTCATCACCATGAGTTTGGTGAACTCTTTATGAGTCAAAAGTTTCCAAAGGCTCCAAAGGCCAAAAGCATCTAATCCATTTTATCAACACTAATTATGACATTAACACATCTATTTTCCCCTATCATTAGCTAAATCAACTTGTTTAGTGGGTGGAGGGTCCTGTTTCTTCCCTTCCACTTCAACTTTTCACCCTTAAAATGCTCTATGTCTCCCTTTATCACTCACTCTTGACTAATAATTCTTTGTTAAATTGTTGTTCTTCCTTCATTGGTGATCTTAAGGAATCATTTAATCTAACCTTAACCACCACTTATCGTAATCTAATTTGACTTTAAATGAGTTTACGAGTGAGATTAAGTAAAATTAATGTGTTTTTTTTTAAATGAATTTTGAAACCAATCATTTGGGAAAAATCTAACAGGAATGTTATGCAAAATTTTTACCTTTCACTCTTTGTTAGCTGATGAGTTGTTCTCAATTTCACCAATAATTAACTAGGTTTAGGTTTTAACTTTGTGAGTGATTAGTGGGAATGACAATGATTAATCAAATGAGATGATTTGGGACCCTCTTTTTTTTTTTTTTTTTTAATATTTGAAATTAACATGAATTGAATCCTGATTAATAAAATTACAAATTCAATATTTTATCAAGAAATTGTTGATATTTGAGATATTCTTTAGTTGCTTAAGAAAGTTCCAAATGATTAATAGTGATCATTAGCCCTAACACGCTTACGTAAAAATCTTTGTTATTAGTGATACTATTGTGAAAACTTTTTAACAATGCGGTTTTAAACTTTTTTGAATGATTTCATTTAGATTTTTAACCTTTTAAATTGATTTTATTTTTTTATTAAACCATTTCATTAAATTTGACATAATAAAAATGAACATTCCACATGATTTTTTTTTCAATTATTAACATAATAATGTAATGAAAATATCAAAATGAAACTCCTTTAAAAGGTTAAGGATTCCAATGAAATAATTCAAAGATTAAAAATTAAAGTAAAATTAAAATAAAACATTAGAGATTATGGATTTAATTTATCATGTTTATTGATAAAATATTGGACTCTTAATTTTAATTATCAGAATTTAATCACTAATAATCTCAAGTATCAAAAAATTCATAGAAAACTCATGTTCATTAATAATTTAATTAAATTCCCAAATGAAAGTTTAAATTTGGGATGTAGCCTAAACAATTGAGATACTAAATATTACATCAACATGACAAATAATAAGATAAGGAAGATGTCCAAAGCCATGATGATTAGAAGGAATTTGAGTATTAACAAGTGAGAAAGAATATTTTGCTTGAAATACCAATGGGATACATGATAGAAAATGGATTTGTTTTGGCTTTTGTTTATGTTAGGATTTAAATATAGTGAGAGAGCTGAGCTGCAAGCTTTTTTCTTTCTTTAATTATCCTTTGGAATTTTCTGTCACTTTCTCAAGAATCTATTTGATTGAGGGTTGAACAAACAAGCATCCCAAGACTTACTTTTGTCACTATTTTTTAAACTTAAGTCCCCACAAAAACTTCTTTTGAGGGTTGCTTTGATTCATACCTTCTACATTACTGTCCCCTCCACATTTTTTTAGACATAAAATGATAAAATTGCAATGAAATTGAGCCATAAAATGTAGGGCATGGGACTTTAATTATGCCATCCTTAAGACATCATTTGGAAATTTATTATTAATCATTTTGATTTATTTCAAAGAAATAGAGCAAAAGATTGTGTCTGAGTTTAAAAAAGTCATAGCCTTATCACACCAATTATTCACGACTGCCTGTCCATCATTGACAACATTCAATTAACTTTTAAAAAAACTTAAAATTATATGGTTTTTCTACATGTAAATCAAAGTTAATTGAATTACAACAGTTGGAAATATGTGCATTATTGCAATTATTTGATCTAAATTGTTTATATGCTTTAGAGTGGAAGGATCACATGCGAACTGTATTTAATGGTTCAAATTGAATAATTGCAAGCATGCTAAATATACCATCTTTAAACTTATAAGAGATCTTGAATGTGGCTTATCCAAAACTTGGGCTTTGGACCCATTTTCAGGTGTGTTAATTGGAACACTAGTGGTAGATTCTGTCAAGTGACAAGAACATGATTGGTGATGGGGTCAATCCTTTTTTTTTTTTTTTTCGCATGACTCTTTCATTTTAATAATTTAATTTTTTTTTATCTTTAAACTGTAACTTTTTTGTCAAAAATAAAAACTTAACGGAACTAAATTCCTTTTTCAGGGGCTTGAGGATGTGTCGACATTGAATTTGCCTAAAAAAAGGACAAATTGTGGCCAAGAGAAAACTTCTTTGACATTGCTGAAAATCAATCCTGATGTTACATTGTAATGACAGGGAAATCTTTCAAAGTTAGGTTAATTAAATTAAAAATCTCCTAGGGACTTAAAGTCAATAAAAAGGTACATCTACAAAATCTAATCTGCAGTGCCATGAGATCATGAAACTTAGAAAATCTTGCTCTCATAATACATTTTGCTATCAGAATTGAGAAATCATAGTCATTTCTTTGGGTATAATGCTCAACCACCATACTACTCAATGTCTTTGAAATTGAGAATCTAAGGTTATGTGATCAAGTAAATTTGATGGTTCAAAATCAAATTTGAGTGCCAATAATTAAAAAAAAAAAAAAAAAAAACACAAAATTGAACTAACTGATTGATTCAATTCCTGTAAGAATGATATTTCTTTTAAGGCAACCGTGGCCTGAAGAAGCAGGCTGAATTACAGTTCCTACCATGTTCAGCTGTTCTGCTTCCACCAATTGGATTTGGCTGATACTTTTTTCTGTTCAAACATTCAGAAGACCAACTTATTGTTGCCACAAAAATCAAAGAAATGGATACATCAAGTTTGATATGCATGAAAAAAACAAAGCAGGCAAGGACCATCAAATTGATTGAAATCCTTGACAAATCCCAATTATCCCTTCCACTCAACATGCTCACATGCCCATTATTCACCAAATTTAGCCCTTCCCCATTGCAATATCTTTCTTACACTGCAATGTTATTACATGGAAGGGCTTTTGTCTATGATTTGTCTGTTTATGAGGGAATCTTAGTGCATCTTTGTCAACCACTGTTTAAAGCTAGTGTTCTTTTGGACTAATAGTGGAAAAATTCCACAGTATCCTATTGCTTGTCAGTCTTTTCAATGACCACCTCCCAGTCTTCCACCCTCTTAGCAAATCCATCATGGAACATGAAAGATTTGAAGAATTTTGACTGTGTCTGCCATTACTGGAATTTTCTTGTTTCCAATGAGTCCTGAGAAGAAAGCAGGAGAGAAGGAAAAGAAAAATCAGCTGCAACTTGCAAGTTCTAACATTGAAAATTGAAACCAAGTTACATTGAACAATTACCATCTGTTTTGCATTTTTTCCCTTTAAATTTCATAATCAGGTTTGATATAATGATAATCAAATATCATAATCTATATAAATAAAATTAATATAATTTATTCTATAAAATATTTTAAAATTTAAACCAAATCAAATTAAAATAATTAAATGTAAGACACATGTCATTTATTCAAAACTATATATATATAAAAAAAATAGATCATCCATGTTGGATATATATATATATATTTAACAAAGACTTTACCTTTTATATATTTATTATATAAGATAGATAACAAATTAGCTTAATATAGAGGATAATAATTTCCACTTTCCGTTCAAACAAATTGAGGTTTGGCCAGTGAGTTTGTTGGTTGGTGCTGTCATCAGGTCTCAATCTTTGGCTATGCTTCAACACTGGACAACATGCTCAATTATAGTTGCCAATGCATATTATTAGCCTGGAAAGAGGGTAATCAAGGATAAAGAGATAGACATCACAGGACAAAAGTTCTAATGTTTGGCAGCCAACAAGGAAAAAAAACCCACTTTCAACCTACTCAGAATTTCGTAAGAAAGAAGAATAAGAATCTTTGCAATGTGGAAGTGTCTTATCTTAATTCCCCTAACTGTAATAATGGAACTTCATATTGCAAAAGAAACAGAAAATTTTGGTTCATTTCTTTTTCCTTCCTATATCAACTTTCCCTTTATCTCTACAGCTTTTCATTCATAGCCTGTAATCTAATTCACCCCATCCCTTCCTGTCATTGGCAGGAAATCACCTGCCTTCCTAAAGGCTTCCTTCAGATCCAATGAAACTGGTCATCTATTCACCAAAAACGAAACAAACTTCTGCCTTATTAAACTATCTATGAACTGTTCTCAATCCTAATTATTTTCAGCTATGTTGTTTTTGAAATACTCATTTGACACATGAAAGATATGAATGTGAAAATTCGACGGTCTAAATATAGGAAAAATTAAGTAAAAATTGTATATATTCGTGTTCGATACCTACTCGTATTTACACACACCTCGAGTTCTAGTAACACAGCTTTTCAAGATCACGTAAATAGGTCAAAACCAACATTTACTTAAGATATATGAGAATCAAGATATATGGATTGATGATTTTGGATGTATGAATTAATATATGGATGTCATGTTTTGAGGATGGATGTCATGCATACATAGGCAGTCAAAAGTCTATATTCCAGATTCTTTCTTCTCTTATTATATCCCACTTGTATTCTTCAACAATACTTAATTTTGTGAGTCGGAATGATTGTGGCGAGCAACAGATTAATAATTTGGGGTTTGAAAAAGAAGATTCGGAGCTAAAGTTTGCATCAAATAACTTAGTGGGATTCGCCCACCATTTCTTAAAATCTCTGTTTAGCTTTATTCAGTCTGCAATGGAGTTTGGTTGCTTTTGGTTCAATATTAAGCATTGAGCAGGACATGGTAGAAATATTGGATTGAATATTCCAATCTCTGTGAATATCCAAATATGGTATGCTCAATTATTACGATAAAAAAGAATCTTGTTATGCAGAAGAAATTTTTTTTATCTTTTATCTTTTAGGTTCCGATCTAGATTTGAACTCGAAACTCTCAGAGTACGTTTGCTAATTGCTATTGAAGTCTTCGCTAGAGATTTATAGCTCCTTGGAGAGGTTGATCAGTGTATGCAAGTGCCATTTGAGGGGCAGCATGAAAGCTAAGGAGAAGAAAATTGATCATTTTGAATTATAATCATATGACCTGATATCAATTTATCAGTTGTTGAAATTATAACAACTCTTGATGCACAAAATAGGTTCTCAACATGGTTACAATCAATAAGATATGGTGTAATTATGTTTCTCTAAACACGAATAGAAGCCTGCAACTTTTTACAAGCTAGCGCCATCTAAAAATAACGGCAAAGCCCATTGAATATTCAGAAAGAATATGACAACGTAAGCCATACGTGGATGTCAACTCCAGGCAGTAGCAAGAAGGATGCATTAGAATCTCGAGTTATAATATTCAAGCCACGAAGATGATGAAGACCACCAGGAAAAAGATGATTGCGGCGAATATCTTGATTAGAAGCCACCTATTTGATGATATTTGGTTAAGATGCCTCAATAGAGCACTGCGAGCACCTTCAACGTTAGCTAATGATTGATCCATGTCCTCATCAATCCTGCTCACAAGTCACATCAATTAGGCAGATTCCGTAACCGACTCAAAATACTTAAAATTATATAACAAACACTTTGAAATAATGATATGCCAAGAGAATTATTGTTTCTTTTGATGGAAATAGCAAGTTGCCACATCTAAAGATGAGAATGAACTAGCAGAATAAATATGGGTAAAAGCAGCAGACCTGATAGCTAGTTCTCCTTGATGTGCGACCATTGTAGCCAGATGTGTAAAGATTCCACTAAGTTCTGAAATTGTAGATTCCACGTTCTGAAGAGCAACTGCCCGACTTTGTGAGTAATGCTCTTGCCTGGGAACAACCTGCTGCAACATGGACATTTCCATGTGGTGGGAAGGTGTGCCATCCACAGCTGGCCTTCGTCTGTTTTGGCACGGTTCAATAAAAGGTGTTGTAGAACAATTAGTGAAATAGAAATGGAACAACGAGGCCCAAAGATATAAAAGAAACAAGCATGAGTTGGGGATATATCTACATACACATAAAGAATTTTTATCTTTTCACTGAATGCATGGTAAAATCACAGTGAATAAGTACCAATGCATCTATATCTCATAAGATGACATAAAGATCTTGCTGCATCTAGTTCAGTAATATGACCAATCATTAGAACACATGATTTATGGGAAATGGTTAAACCTCAAAATTTAACCAATCATAACACATATACAGACCTCAGTTGGCTGCCAGCTTGTACACCATTTGATGGCGGTCTGGTTAGAAGAAAAAAGAGACGTTAGTCAAACGACAAGAATAGGAGAAAGGCTATAATTTTTCTTGGACAAAATTTGACACATCCACAAAATCAAGTTTCGATAAATAATGAAAGGTGTTAGTAAATACCCGCAACAAAATAGTTTTTCAGTTAAAGTTTAACATCTAAAGTGCTCAATACAGCATGATAAGAAGATCTTCTACATCCATGCTAAATGTTCACCTACAGATATTCAATGTTATTGATTAAATTATAGCGCGCGAATGTTCTAGCAGACCAAATGAAATTACAATCCCAGTTTCTTTTAGATTCAGAAATAATAGCCTGAAAAGTGATTTTGATCCTGCCTCGTACACATAAAGACAGGATAATAACTAACATGGTAGCTTCCTATTCTGATGTTTATCAATATCTCATAAATATCAGAGCACCAAAAAACAAGAGCACCCACCCTAACAGTGGCAAACTCTCAGACAAATTTGAAGAACTTGACCAAGGAGGTGGCTCGGTCACAGATTCTGTTTGATGCCGAAACAGGTTCTCTCTCGATGTACTCTTCGAAAATATCTGTTTCCTGTTTTCATGAGCCTTAATATTCTGCACAACCACAAGACATACAGACCAAAGGAACAACATAATTAATGCAATCACGATCAAGAATGATCATCAGCTCTCAATACAGAATACCCAATAAACAACTTCAATTCTAGTGTAGCAAAAAAACTACCTCAGTTCTTGCAGTCAACACATCTTGAAGATGCTTGGTAGCACCCATTAACTTGCTCTTCAAATCGTCACAAACCGTTGTGGAATGAACAACTCTATCATCAGAGTAATTCCCATCAGCAATCTCCATGTTTTGAAGTGTTTGCAAATCCGAAAGTGCCATATTCAAAGTGGTAATATCAGTCTTTATCAAAGCAGTTAGTTCCTCTATTTCCACAATCGGATCATCGAACATTGATGACCTCTTTGCCACTGCAAGAATTACATTAAAAACATCAAACATAATAATATTTCAAAAATCCCATTTCAAAATAAATCTGATTCTTCCTTAAAAAAAACATTTATTCAATATTTACTGCAAAAATTACATTAAAACATCAAATATAACAATATTTCAAAAATCCCATTTCAAAATTAATCTGATTCTTCCTTAAAAAAAAAAAAAACTATTTATTCAATATTTACCGCAAAAATTACATAAAAAACATCAAATATAACAATATTTCAAAAATCCCATTTCAAAATTAATCTGATTCTTCCTTAAAAAAAAAACCATTTATTCAATATTTACTGCAAAAATTACATTAAAAACATCAAAGATAATAATATTTCAAAAATCCCATTTCAAAATTAATCTGATTCTTCCTTAAAAAAAAAAAAAAAACCATTTTTTCAATATTTACTGCAAAAATTACATTAAAAACATCAAATATAACAAATATTTCAAAAATCCCATTTCAAAATTAATCTGATTCTTCCTTAAAAAAACCATTTATTCAATATTTACAGCAAAATTACATTAAAAACATCGAATATAACAATATTTGAAAAATCCCATTTCAAAATTAATCTGATTCTTGCTTAAAAAGAACCATTTACCCAATATTTTAAATTTAACATATTTACAAAAAAAAATTACTTTATTCATTTTTAAAATAAAAACAAGTAAAAGGAAACATATTTAGCAGTTAAATTCATCAAAATTTTATTCCAAATAGCAAAAATTAAGCGAAAAATAATGAATAAATCATTAAATAATCATAAGCAAATAGAAGAAAGACCTTACATTTGGCAAGTCTAACAATTTTTTGAGAGGTTTCATGGATACCGGACCCGATTAGGGAAGCCTTTTTGTTGAACTCGGATCTGGAATATAGAGGTGGATGAGGTGATCTAGAAACGAAGTCGTTTCGGAGATGATTATCGTTGACGACTGAGATCCCTCCCACTTTTTGAAGGGTTTGGGATAGTGATCGGAACTCAGCTGTCCGATCTCTGTATGGGGAGGCCATAGAGGAAAACGGTGTCGTTTAAGTTTGCTCCGCGGGTTAATTTAGTCGTCGGAGAGGGAATATCAAGGAACGTGTTAGAATTGGAGGGAAACGTAACTGGAGAGGAAAACAACAACTGATTGGGTGGTTTTAGTGGGGTCTTCTGGTTTTAAAGTTGTCCAATGAAGATTTGCCACGTCAAAAGAATGAATTTGCCTGCCACCTAACATGGCATTTTTGTTATTTTAATGCCAATTAATTTTATTTGTAAATATTTTTTTATTTTAATATTCTTAATAAACAGTATAAACTTAAAGATTCGTGAATTTATATTATGTAAATAATGTTTTTTAATAAAAAATTAATATTATAATTCATATCAAAATAAAAATATATAATTTATTTTTTGATTTAATTAAATTTATGTATAATTATTATTAAAATTTTAAATTATATATTTTATATTTAATTTTTATATTATATTATTATATCATATTTTAAATTATCGAATTATGAAAACTAGCTGGATTACTTTGTAAGTTTTTTTGTTTTCTTTAGAGTTGTTCTTTTAAATAAAATTTGGATCTCAGATTTTGTCCAAAACATAAATTATTACGGGCTCCAATCCACGAAATCGTGCTAAATGGGTCGCATATGAAGCTAAAATACCGAAGGCGATAGCCCAAACCAAAAACCACAAAAAAACCTAAATAATGAAGGGAAGAAATCTCAACCGTCCGATCAAGGACAACTCCAAAAACCCTAATGTGCCTTCCTTTCCCCTCCCCTATGTAAACGCACTATAACCCTTTTCTCCAATTTCACCAGCTCATAAGGGTTTTTCTCTCTGTCAAACCACTCGCCAAATCGAAACCAGAGGTTAAAGAGACGGTGCTGTTTTGCTGTCCGCCTTGATCGAGTATCAGTCGCTTCGTCTTGGCCCTCGATTTTGCCCTCTGTAAAACTTTGTAACTTTAGTATTAACTCTTATATCCCTAAAAATGGTAGTGAAACCCTCCAAGGCTGACAAGAAAATCGCATACGACGCGAAACTTTGCCAGCTCTTAGACGAGTACACCCAGATCTTAATCGTCGCAGCCGACAACGTGGGTTCGAACCAGCTTCAGAACATTCGGAAAGGCCTCCGAGGTGACTCAGTTGTTCTCATGGGTAAAAATACTATGATGAAAAGGTCGATTCGGATGCATGCTGAGAAGACCGGAAACCAGGCTTTCCTTAACCTTATCCCTTTGCTTCAGGTACTTTAAAAGTTTAAATCTTTATAATATACTTTTTTGGGTATTTTTGAATCAGGTAAATTAAAGTTTGAATCTTTTTTTTGGCGTTTTTAGTGTTTGATAAATGAATAAAGTAATTGTTTTTTATCTGGTTTTTTTGAATCAGGGAAATGTGGGTTTGATCTTTACCAAGGGTGACTTGAAAGAAGTTACAGAGGAAGTTGCCAAGTATAAGGTGAGTTATTGTTTTTTTATTAATTGAAATTGGAATATTTGATATTATAATTATTTTATCAGTTATTTTTACTAATTATGTAATAAATGAAAAATTAAATGACTTGCTTTCACTCTAATTTGAGAACTTTTAAACTTGTTTGTTCAGTTATAGGATTTTGAAGTTATTGTTTATGTAATTTAATTATTTAGTATAGTTAGCCATAAAAACAAAAATATAACTTGTATACAACTTAGATATTTGTGTTCTTTCATTGATAAATTAGCAAAATTGTTAGAATCTTGAGTTTGAAAGAAAGCTCACTCTTCGCTATGGGACTCATTCTTTGCTACCGGCTCATTTGGTAGTATATAGTATGTGTTTGCTTGAACCTATCTCATTGCATTCAAGGAGAAACTATTTTAAGCATAAGATTAATTACTATTCTCTTTGTTGTGGCCAGTTCACTGTTCTTCTGGTTCTGGTTTTAATATTCGTGTTTCAAAATTTGAATGATTTGAAGGAAAGCTCACTCTTTGCTATGGGACTCATTCTTTGCTACCGGCTCATTGAATAGTATATTGTATCTGTTTGCTTGAATCCATCTCATTGCATGCAAGGAGAAAACTATTTTAAACATCAGATTAGCTACTATTCTCTTTGTTGTGTCCAGTTCAGTGTTCTTCTGGTTCTGGTTTTAATAGTCTTGTTTCAAAATTTGAATGATACGATTATAATTTTCTTGTTGATATTGTGAAGTTCAATTTCATTTGATATAATAGTTGTTTCTTGCTATTGATTTTGTGCTTTTGTGGGTTTACTTAAAATGCTTTGATTTAATATCATAGTTTATTATGAACAGGTTGGAGCTCCTGCTCGAGTTGGTCTGATTGCGCCCATTGATGTGGTTGTCCCACCTGGCAACACTGGGCTTGACCCTTCACAGACCTCTTTCTTCCAGGTACTGCTATTTGTCTAGCAGTGATGTTCTTTTTATCTGAATTGATTGATACTTATTAGAAACATTGCTCAATTTTTATTACTAATTTTTTGTTACATTTTAGGTGCTTAATATTCCAACCAAGATTAATAAGGGTACTGTTGAAATTATCACTCCTGTGGAGCTTATCAAGAAGGGTGAAAAGGTTGGATCTTCCGAGGCTGCCCTTCTTGCTAAGCTTGGAATTAGGCCCTTCTCATATGGTCTTATTGTCCTGTCTGTCTATGACAATGGCTCAGTCTTTAGCCCTGAGGTGTTGGACCTTACCGAGGATGACCTGATTGAGAAATTTGCTTCTGGTGTCTCCATGGTTACTGCACTGTCTCTTGCCATCTCATACCCAACCCTTGCTGCTGCACCACACATGTTCGTCAATGCCTACAAGAATGTCTTGTCTGTTGCTGTTGCAACGGAGTATTCTTTCCCTCAGGCTGATAAAGTGAAGGAGTACTTGGCGGTATGGAATTGATTCTTTTTCTGGTAAATTATTTGCAATTTTCCCTAGTATTGTGAGCTAAATTAGTTGTTGCTTGCTTTCAGGATCCAAGTAAGTTTGCAGTTGCTGCTGCCCCTGTTGCTGCTGATGCCGGTGCTGCACCTGTTGCTGCTGCTGCCGAAGAGGAGAAGAAACCAGAACCTGAAGAAGAGTCTGATGACGATATGGGATTCAGTCTCTTCGACTAAGTTTGTTTGTCTTAGTATAATGATGGAGGATTATAATACTATCAGTTATCATAGCCTGTTTGGATTATTTCTTGTAGTTTCTTTTTGATGGGTACTTTTCATTGCTTCAAGTGTGGAGAACTTGTTAAGTTTATGAAGTGTCAATTTAGTCTATTGCCTGTTATCTACCTTATATATCAGTTTGCATTTTGATTTATGCTCCCAAGGCTTTGAAATTGATGTTGGTGATTGTACCTGCATACCATCTTTGAATTACTACATGCTAGCATTAGTATTTCTTCACAAATCTTGGTAATACTTCAAGAAATCACGTATTTTGCCTTCAACTTTGTAAGCCTCTATACTCTCTAACTTTAGAACAAAAAGAGGTAAAATTGAAATAGCAAAGCTGTAGCAGTAGCAGGAATAGATAAAAGTGTAATCGAGTCGAGTCAAATTGATATAGTGAGAAGCTTGAGTTCGATTCACAACTCAAGGCTTGATATTCGGTTTGAATTTAATTGAGTTTTATTTTTCAAGTTCGAATTCGATTTGTGATTGAATTCGAGCTACCTGAGTTTGTTTAATTAAGTTCGATTAATATGTAAAAATAAGTTTAATTTGTATACTTGGTAAGAGTTAGATTATTTATGTTCGAGTTCGAATTTGAATTCGAAATATTTTATTAATTAAAATAATAAAAATATATTTAAATATAAATGCGCGATTAGATTTGTGGAGTTATTTGAATCGGATATAAGAATATTCGAATTCGGTTCGATCGATAAATCAAGTTATTCAAGCTCGATTCGATTATAATCGAATCGAATTCGAGTTTTTTTCGAATCGAACTCGAATAACTTGCGAGTATTAATGTATTATTTACACCTTTAGATATGAATACTAAAATATGGCAGAACAAAAACAATCTGGCATGGTAGGAATATGGAAGTTAAGTTGACAAACTTACATGATATTTTTAGGAAAAACTCGGTGAATATTAAAATAATTTAATTAAAATTTTAATAAAATATTCAAATCGATGAATTGATAGAATTTAATATGAAGATTAATAATATATAAAAATTTATATTAAAAATATTATTTATAATTTAAATTTGATTGATATTTATTTAATAATAAAATTTTATTAATATTTTTATTAAAAATATTTATTTAAAAAATATATATAAATTTTTAAAATTTTGTACATTTAATTTATGTAATAAGACTTTCTCGTAAGACTGTCTCGGCGCTGTCGCGGCAAAACTGGAGGACGTGCGTGACCCCATAGTGGCAGAAGCTCTAGCAGCTTTTCAAGCTAGCAAAAGATATGCAATTCTCTCAAGTCATTATAGAGGGCAATTCACTAGAAGTGATTAACAGCATCAGTGCAAGAACGAGGGACCTGTCTCCTATAGGAAACCTGATAGCAAATGTGCATTTGATTGAGGCTAGCATGGACTCAGTAACTACGCAAGGAATGAAGCTGCTCATGCCTTTGCAAGATGTGCTTTGAGACTGGAAAATGCCATGTACTGATTTGGGGAATGCCCCTCTGTCATTCATGATGTAATCTCTGCTAAATGTACTGGCTTACATTGAAATGAAATCTAGTTATCCTGCTTCAAAAAAAAAAAAAACGATGATTCTTTCAAGTTTCTACCCCACATATGCTGACCAAAATCCATCAATAAAATTCAAAAAGCATTCATAAAATTTATTTATTCATTGGATCTTTCTTTTCATCATGTATTCCCTTCTTTTAAAGACCAGTAAGACCAAGAGATGTGATCAATATGTTTGATTTATTAAATGTCTCAATCAAAACCCTCCTCAACTCAATTATTATAAAATAGTAGATTTTCCATTGTCTTGGACGCCAATAAAGGAGATATATCCTTTCCAGTCCTTGCAAAAAACTCGATCAGATCGTTCTTGATTTTCTCTTTCTTTTTTTCAAACTTTCTACTTATAATTTTCTAGTTTGTTACCCTAATTTTACGCTCTAGGTTCTATCTGTATCTGAAGCCTTGTTGGCCAGACATGAACTCTCTTCAAGTCTTGCACGTGAAAATGGCGTTGAAATTTTATTCCCTCAGAAGTTAGAACTTTGATATAAAGGGTGTTTTCTAACATTCTCTAATCAAAATCAAAGAACAAAGTTGGAACACGGAAGCATGCATGGTGTCACGTAATGTCCTACTTCTATTGATTTGGTTCAAAAAGTCTATTCTTGTGTTGCATGATTGATGCCCATTTGTATTAAGAAATTAGTGACCCCAACTAGTCAAATCCTTTATCTTTGTAATCTCTTTAATTCCTTTTGTGGGGTAGATGATAGCGTCTTTGGAGCTGTCCTACAAGGATGATGCAAGATTCGTTTATCTAATGCTGAGGTTATATCATTTTCAACTCAAGTTGGGGATTAGATTTTGCTCAAAATTCTTACTTTTTTCTTGAAACAAAATATAGAATGAGGATAAACCCTTAATTCGGTAATTTTTTCTATGATTAATTATGAAATCCAAAATCTAATCCAATTGATAAATATAATCACTTTACGACAATCTTTGTATAACAAATATAAACTACAAAGATTTTGAGATTTGCTTTTGTGGTTACTTAGTTTGAAGGGTGATGTTCCATTTAAAGGGAAGCATGAACAAATTACTGAAAATTGTTTCCCATCAACATTCAATCTGAACTCATGGGAGAGCCTGTGATGTCACATCGCTAAGAAAAGATCTTATGAATGATGAGTGAGATGAAATCTTAAAGATCTTATATTTATTTTATGAATTGTAAGTTGCTTTTCCTTCTAAAAGAGATACATGGGGCAACTTGCGGCCAAATCAGCCAATCATGCTTTGATCTAAATTTAGACTTCATCAGTTTGTTTACCAGATGAGATCAGGCATTGGAAAAAAATCTACTAGGATAGAGCATGAGCAAGATATGGTTTTGTCCCTTTTCTCTTTTAACGTAGGATCAAATAATAATTTTTTTATTTTATCACTTTATTTAAATAAATTTTTATATTTTTATTATATTTAAACAAATATTTAACTTTTAATTTACATTTAAATAAATTATTAATCATTAATTTATATTTAAATATATTTTAATATAAACCAATTTTTCATTTGAAATAAAAATCTCTATAAATATAAATAAAACAAATAAAAATTTATTAAAATATAATAATAATACAAAAACATGTTTAAGTAAAGTAAAATATTTTAGTCTTTTAGGATTCTTTGGCATTTGGATATACTCTCCCATTAACACAAGAAAATAATAACACCAATAGCAATAGTTCTCCAAAACAAAAATTCACTATTTTTGTCTTATTAAATTATTGGTGTTGAACACTCAAAGTGATTTAATTGGCTTTGAAATTTGAAGAATGATCTTCCAAAAGTGTACCAGGGGCATGTTACATCTTTAGTCACATCCATCACCATTAGAGCTCTAACTTTATTATTAAAAATTCATTTAGATACATAATAATCAATGAGAAAACTCTCATTGGTGCATGTCATTTTATTTATTGAATTTTTAAAATTTTAATTATAAAATTCACTTATAACATGATAATAAAATTTTCACCATGCATCTAAATAAATTTTAAATTCAAATATTCTATAAAGTAAATAAAATTTATGTGAGCCTTGAGTTTAATTTTTTTATTATTAACTATTATTTTATTTTATTAGAAAAGATAGTCAAAATATTTATTATAAATTGATAGAATCAATTAGAGCTACGAAGATAGAAGAAATGACTTGAGCTACTTGCCCAAGTTGTTCAATAGTCAATCATCTTTGTATAAAAAATCAATTATTAAACTGAAGTTTGATATCTCAACTTAAATGCTCATTAACATCTAAATCAAACCATATTGTCAATTAAATCTAAAATTCAAAAAAAATTTATTTAAAATACTTGAAAATAATTTGAATTTGATTCAAAATTGTATAAATATAAATTTAGAGTTCGATAAAAATCTAAACTTGTATGATATTACCAATCTATCTAAAATTTGAAAAAAATTTGATGTTTTACAAATGATTCGAATCCAATTTAAAATTTCCTAAACATAAGTAGTATGTCTAATTTCCTTTAGAGAATATTTAATTAATAAAAATATTTTATTTAATTTTCAAATCTTTCAAGCTTGATTTTAAGAAAATTTTTTAAAAAATTAATCAAATTTTATTCTATCCATAAGCACCTTTTATCATACCAATGAGGTTAATTAACACATTGGGGAATCGAAAATTTGATCATGGATTTTGCCCTTTGAAATTAAACCTTGATTTGAATATTAATCTTTGATCCCATCTATCAATTCATGTATATTTGTCCAATCAAATTTCTTTTTTTTTTTTTTGTTCATACAAAATCCTTGTTAAGTATATATATTTCTTAACAAAATCAAGAGGATTTGGATAAAATAATTTGTCTCATTAATATTGGTTAGGCTAAAGTTTGGTCTAATACTGATCATAAAAAATGAATTAGGTCCAATATTTTTTCTTGGCTTTAATTAGGACATTTGTCCCACAAATTTAGGCTTTCCAGTAGCCCAAAATTTTCTCTATCAAGGGGTTTTTTCCAATGGATGTTCAATGAAAAGTTCAACTTTCTCATTTTTCTTTAAAAAAAAAAAATTCACTGTATTTGGGTAATCCACTTGCCAAACAATAACTTTTTAAATCACTATCCAGCTAGCTACTAGCTATATACAAATTTGTGGTTAAAAATAAATAAATAAAAATATTATATTTACATATAGAACCACTTTAATTCGTTCAAGAAATTGATATTCAATGGTTTAGTCAGTTTCAACATTTTGATTCTGAGTAGCTCCTAGAGGCTAGGACTTCATATTTAATTCTTTTTTCTTTTGAAAAATGTCAAATGTTGAAGAATGTTTATACTTTTTAAATAATATTTTTAAATTATAATTAATTTATTACCCACTTTTGAATTTAACGAGAATTATGTATTAAAATAAAAAAATATATTTTTAAAAATATAATATTAATTAAAATTTCTGTTTATATAAACACTGGTTAGAAGAATATTTTTGAAATTATAAATATAAATTATAATTATATTCATTTATAAAAAATCACTGAATAATTAAATAAATTTAACATAAAATTAAATAAAACTTCACAA